CCCATTACTTTTGACTGTCCTCCGAGCAGAACTGTTCATTCGATAGGGGAAAAACTATATCAGTGTTAACAATCAGGAATGAAAAGACTTCTTTTGCTTAGTGTTTTGGGTTGTGCCGCCAATGGAGAAAAGTTAACCCTCTTTGAATAATTTTCAAAAGAAAAACAATTCCGAAAGGAAACTTCCCAAAAGAAGTTATTATTTGCACCAACAAAAAAGGAGGGCTGTGTGAAGAAGTGATGTTGTTTTGGCTTAGAGAAATTTATCGGAAAAGAAAAGATGCTTTTTGCCAACCCCGAGGGCTCATTGTTCTGGATTCAATGCGATCCCATTTAGCTGTTACTGTAAGATCTGAAGCAAAAAAACTTAGCACCGATGTCTCAGTGATACCAGGTGGGCTTACAAAAATTTGACAGCCGCTAGATCTCACTATCAGTAGAACTTTCAAGCACAAACTACGAAAGCAGTCGGAGGAATGGAGGCAAAGCGGACTCCATTCCTTCACGAATTCCTGGACCAATCAGAAAAGCTTCGTAGGAGGTGGCTACCTTATGGGTCTATAAAGTATGGAAATCAGTCCGAGCTGATACGATCACATTCGGCTTTCATTAAATCGGAAATCATTGGAAAAGAAAATGAAAGTGAAGATAGTGATGTTGAAAGAAGTGATTTAGAATAGAATGATAATGAAACTGGACATAGATAGTCATTTGTTAAATTTATTTAAATGAGACATCAATGAGTCAGATTTTGAAGGTTTTGTATAAATAAATGTAGTTTAATTTTATTAGAAAATTCTGTTTGTTTATCTAATTTACATATTCTTTTTCATAACGTGGTAATTTATGCTGATAAGTGGAGTTTACTGAAAACGTAAAAATAATATATTAGAAATCATCAGAGTTCATTTTCGTCAAGTTCAAGATAAGCTGTTTCTTCTTTATTAATATATTACTGATTATATTTATGTTGTAAATGTTATCAATGATGATTACACCAATATGGGAGGGAATTATTGAATTACTGAATATTAATTGCCATGCTTCGGAATGCTTGGCTGCGGCTTATTCAATGACCTTTTATTTGTTTTCAGTCAATTATCATGTGTGCGGGAATCACCAGGGCAGCTTATCTACCCGAAATTACGGTACTTGTATATTATTTTTAAAATTTTTGAAAAATTAATCTTGGCCTGCCAAACTTTTTTCTTTCGATTTTTGGCCTGCGACCGAAAAAGTTTGCCCATCCCTGATATAAAAGTTTTCTATTGCGACGACAATGCCCCAGTCATTAATCAATTAACGAATGGCGAAATCTGTAGTATGATTCTAGATCCAGAAAATGCTGCTATTAATAGTGAAGAAAGTGACAGAGAGGTTATTGAAAATGAAAAATTTTTGATTGAAAAGTTAGTTGGAATTCTCAATGCAGCAATTGCAGGACTTGAATAATGGAACTTTGTAACTGAGCAAGAAATTATGTCTGTCTACCAAATTAAAGACAAAGTATTAGCATAAAAAAAGCAACTTAAACAACTTACATTGAAAGAAAAGTTTAATAAAGTAAATAAATAAACCTTAACCTTTTTTTTAAATAAGTTTTGATACCTTTAGATCATAAATGCGTCATTATTTCTTAATTACGATTTCATATTTTTATTTTTATAATTTCTGCATGTCACCTTACTAGTTTTAAACTGATTATCTGATATCCAGAAAAATCCCACATCTGGAATCACTGAAGTGCTGATGAGTCCAGATCTCGGACTTTGTACAGTATTTTTAAGAGAAGATTTACAATGTAAATCAAGAAAATACTTTTTTTTGGAGGGGGGGGGGTGTTTTAAAATTTTGCATGCAGAATTAGAAAATATATTGTAATTTTTAATTAAGTAACTGTATGTTAAGTCTTGTTCAACTGAAACTATTATGCTTTTGAATTAATATTGCACAAATGTTGCTTTGCAGCCTTTAATGCATTTGTAACACAAAATTAAGAATTTTGAAAATTGTTAATGTAGAAAAAATGTTACTTAAATATCCTTTCCCCCCCTCAAAGTGAAATGATTGTTGAATGATTAATATTCTGAATGGGCATCAGAAAATAAAATTTCAAACAGGGACGTACGTTGGGTCCCATAGGCATCTTTATGTATAGGCCATAAAATCCTTCAACTGGCTCTAGAGCTGAAGAATACTTGCAGTCATATTTAGAGGTAATTATTTTCCCCTCTGAGTATTTTTTTAATTCATTCATAAACACTCCATTAAGTTAGTTATATTCGCATAAAATTAAAAGGAGGTATTCCCCCCTTTTTTTAATTGATTTTATCATCCAAAAATCAAGAAGGGAAAATTATGCAAATAATTTAATTTCTGAAGAATGTGATTACATTTAGAACGTGACAAATGAAAACTAGTCATGGGTAAACTACAGATAGCTTTTGCAATATTATTTTTTTAACAGAAACATTTTGATAAGAATGCAAAGTAATATTAACATTACAATGTCTCTAATAAGGTATCTCCATTTCTGCATCTCTTTATCTTGAATCTGCCCAACTTATTATTGTCTAATATTACTCCATAAACCTCAAATCATCCATAAATAATTAGAGAAAGGGAGTGCACAACTGATTCAGTGAAACCATAGACTGAATTTCAGTTAGACTTTGCTTTAAGGCTGGGGGGGAGGGAATAAACAAAAAAAATTAATATTAGGATTATAGGATGAATAAAATGAGCAGATTGTTTCAGATATCTGAAAACTGAATTACAAAGATTTAATGTAATTAATTTGCAATTTGTGAATCTGCTTTTTATCTTAATAATCAGTGACCTAATAGCAAGCACACAAACTTGATGCTTCTTCTTTGCATATAAACAATAACTGTACCAACAGCCTTTTTATTGACATATATATATATACCTCTTTAAAACATTATTATTAAGATCAATTGCAGGAATAGTAATGGGGGTTCCAGTGTTTTTTATTTTATGGAGTTTTCTTTCTAGCAGCTTTGTTCCATGTTCTTTTTTCTACTTGTAAAAAATTCTTAAACAATGGATTTGTTTTACTTTTGTTATCTGGTGATGTTGTATAGTTTTAAACTAGTTTCCAAAATGGAATTAGTTTTAAATAACCAAAACAGCAAAAGCTGCCTTGTATTTTTATTTGCACATGTTATTAAATACTAAATCATATACTTCCAATTAGAGAAGTGTTTTAAATGATGTCAAATTTTAAAAAAAAAAATTAATCTTCAACAAATAACAAAATCAAACTTTTAACTAATCTTTTCAACAAATAACTAAGCTTAATACATAATAACAGCTTATACACTGAAGTGACAAAAGTCCTGGGATAGCAATATGCAAATATACAGATTACAGTAGTATCACGTAGAAAATGTATAAATGCGAAGTGCTTTGGCAGGGCTTTCATTTGTGTTCAAGTTATTCATGTGAAGAGGCTTTGACGTGATTATGGCCGCACGAGGAGAATTAACAGACTTTGAATGCAGAATGGTAGTTGGAGCTAGATGCATGGGTCATTCCATTTCGGATATCGTTAGGGAATTCAACATTCTGAGATCCACAGTGTCAAGAGTGTGCCGAGAGTATCTAATTTCAGGCATAACATCCCACCATGGACAGCGCAGTGGCCGACCACCTGCACTTAACGACCGAGACCAGCGATGTCTGCATAGAGTTGTCAATGTTCACAGACAAACAACACTGTGTCAAATAACCACAGAAATCAATGTGGGACGTACGAGGGACGTGTCCGATAGGACAGTGCGGCGAAATTTGTCTTCCTTGGGCTATGCCAGCAGAAGACCAACTCGAATGCCTTTACCGACAGCACGACATCGCCTGCAGCGACTCTCGTGGGCTCGTGAGCATATCGGTTGGTCCCTAAATGAATGGAAAACTGTGGCTTGGTCAGATGAGTCTGAACCGATCATTGACTGGAAATGGATACCTTCAGCTACTTGGAGATCACTTTACAGCCATTCATGGACTTCACGTACTCAAACAATGATGGGATTTTTATGGATGACAATGCGCCATGTCACCGGGCCACAATTGTTCGCGATTGGTTAGAAGAACATTCTGGACAATTCCAGCGAATGATCTGGCCACCTAGATCGCCGGACATGAATCCCATCGAATATTTATGGGACATCATCGAGAGGTCAGTTCATGCCCAAAACCCTGCACCGTCAACATTTTCACAATTATGGACGTCTATAGAGGCAGCATGGCTCAATATTCCTGCAGGGGACTTCCAACGACTTGTTGAGTCTATGCCACGTTGAGTTGCTGCACTTCGCCGGGCAAAAGGAGGACAGACAAAGTATAAGGAGGTATCCCATGACTTTTGTCACTTAAGTGTATATGGAGTTAATCTAACAGGAAATACCTAATAGTATTTAATGTAAGTTTGTTGCAGTGAAAAATATGTCTGTCTTTGTGCAGTGCAAAATGTGTATCTTAATAATCTGTATAAGGAAGTCATCGGATTTTTTTGTTAGTGGAAAATTTTGTCATTTTTAAGAGCAATAATACTGCTTATTAAAATATTTTAATTATTTTTTTTTGGGGGGAGAGGCGAGAGAATAGTTGTGTGCATGTTAGATTTATACAGTGAACTTTCTCCAAGGAAACTATTCACAGTTCCAGGTGGTTTCGGTTTTATAAAGAAATGGTCATATTTAGAGAGGTGTGTTCATCAGAGGGGTGTTTATTTCTTTTAAAGGTGGTTGCTGCAGTAGGGTTCACTGTATTTATTAGTGTTGTTAATAACCTTTTTGAGTCATATGAAATAAATTCTGCTTTTGGTATGCCTTATCATGTTTTTAATCTTAAAAGCAACTGTACATATTACAAATGCTGTGCTCATGAATATTTACTTTGTCTATAAAAGCATCATTGTATATTTTTCACCCTGGTAAATAAGTCATTTATTTAAATAAAAAAAATATTTGATGGTTATAGGTATTACGCCATCCTGATCATGTTACAAATGGAACTCTGCTGTGGGCACACCATGAAAAAATAGTTTGTGTTGATCAGACTTATGCTTTTATTGGTGGTCTTGACCTTTGCTATGGAAGATGGGATGATTATCAACACAGGTAACAGAAATATTAAAATGTGATTTAAACTTCTTAAAAAAATGAGTACTCATTATTACCAATCATTAGGATGTCAGAAACATGAAATGCAGTGGAAACTAAATCAGCTGTAATTTTTTAGTCCCCCCCCCAGCTATTCCAATAGTGCACTGGACAGAACGAATCCATGTAAAAGCTTAGAATTAAAATAAATTTTTAAAAAATATGATTTAAAGTACGTTGTATTGTATGATATAGTTTTGCCATAAGACCTAGAGTACAGTGCTGAAACACTTTCATATAACGCATTTTTGCACCAACAAAGTTATCAAATAAAACTAGACAGAAAAAAAAAAAAAAAAGTTTGATTAAAAATTATCATGTAAGTTGGTTAATTATGGAATATCATGGTTTTAATACATAATTTGGTGGGCACTTTGTAAAACTTCCTGTAGTTTTTGTGCATGAAACATCAGCATAGTATTTTCTTTCTTTCTTTCTTTTTCTTTTCTTTCTTTTTTTTTTTTTTTTTTTTTTTTTTTTTTTTTTTTCTTTTTCTTTTTCTTTTTTTTTTTTTTTATGACAGTAATAAATAAATTTCAACATAAGTGGTACAATTAAGTCATCTTAAGATATTTGTTATTTATTGTGAAAATTACTTTGGATTTACTTTAAATATTATAATTTTACTATATATAATAATAAACTAAAGAATTATGATGTGAGTAATTTCAGTTTGAATCTTGATTTTTACATGCATTATAAAATGAACTATGGCAGATACAAATCAGCATCAGTGAATTTATTTCTCTGTTTATAATGGGAAGTGAAATATTATAGTTTGGCCATATTTCTGTATGTTTTGGTAAAATGAAAGGCTCTAAAATATCTATTGTAATGATATGGAATAGCCATTCATTTTGTAACTTTACTAAATGTTACGAGAAAAGAACAGGTTTGAGGCTTACTCAATCAGGGAAAAAAAACATATATATATATGTTCAGTTGCACATTGTGTAGTACTGGTTTGCCTCAATTCCAGTAATAGGTATGCAGCCTAAAAATGGCATTTCAGTTTCAAAATTCTTCAGTAACTGAACTGTTTGCAGTCATATGCTTTAGAAGTTAATGCATAAAATGGTACACTACCCTAAATAAAATGGTAGAGGTACTAGATTTAACTAACTGAAATGGTAATATACTTAGGTTGACTGATCTTGGAGGTGTTGGTAAGAAACTAAGTCAAGTAACTCTGACTGCTGATATGAAGTCATCTCCATTACTTAAAGGTCCTACAGAATTATGCAGGTCTCACTCCTTATCAGATATAGCATCAGAACTTGGTACTAATTTGCAAAGTGAGGTAAGTTATTTTATATGAAATTACTAGTTTTTGTAAACTGTCTTAATTAGAATTGTAGTTCTAAACTATCTTAATTAAATGCATTATTTTTATAGTTTTTTTTTTAATGAAAAGTATGCTGTATAGATTTTCTTGTTTGAAAAATTACTTTTCTGTTACTACAGATCTAGGAATAAATTATTTCTGTAAAGAAGAAAATAATTCCACGTACACTAATGTTTTGCAGTGTTTGCTACATTTCATAATGTAAAATTCCCTTTTTTCTCAACAATTTTTATCATTTGTATCAACAATCATCTCAACAATTTTTGTCATTTGTATGCAAAAGTGTGTATCATCTTTTTTTTTATGAACTATACCAATTTTTCAGAAACTGAATATTTCTTCTTTCATGAAACATTTAAAGTGGTCATTTTATAGTGATAGTTGTCTAATCTAGCATCTGAGTTAATACATATTAAGACTAATACAAATAGGAAATGAAAATAAACAGAATTTAGCTTTAGCATGGACATTGGTTTCCAAATAAAAAAGCCATTGTATTTTGAGAGAAACTCTGATGTATCTCTTCATCTGGGAAACAGAAAACTTGCTGCCTTTTCAAGAGAACTTCATCAGTTTCCTTCTCAAAATGCACCATCTCTTCATTTACAAATCAGTATTTACATACTTTGACCATGGAGGTTGGCTGAGATCCTGATAAATTTGTGCCAGTCATTTAGTCAAAAGTTTGAAGAACAGATTGCTTTTTATTTATTTAGATCCTGTAACTTTGAAAATACTCCTCTTGTAGAAGAAGGATACCAAATGATAATTATTTATTCAAAGTACAAGGCGAAAAAAAGGGATGGCAATTATCTTATACTCTTTTTTGCAAAAACTAAGTCTTATCAAGGGTTAATTAGCCACATAAAACCAAGATAAAGATATTTTGATTGTGTTGAGGTGTTATACTTATCCATTAATTGTACTAAAACACATAATTTGTGAGAAGCATTGCTCCCTTTTGTCAGGTAATAATGAAAATAACTTAACCTCACCCTAGAAGCAATGGCAAAGTCACTGAAATTATCTTCTGTGCCATATAAATCACATTAATGTATTTTGGCACTTTAATAAAAAAATATAGTATTATTTCTCAAAATTTTGCACATTATCAACAAATTGAAGCAAAACATAAATGCTGTTAACTAGTTGGCGCTTTCTGACTAAAAGGACCTGCTTGTTGCCAAATTTGCTGTAGTCAGATTGACCCAAAATCTGACAAGATGAGAATTGCAAATCTAAAGATGTATATATATATATATACAGAGCTTCATGAAAAGAATAGATAATTTGTGAAACCCAAAATAAATATCAAAAGCAAAGGCAAATATAGAAATGTGTGGGTAAACAAGCGTGTAATTATTGGATCATAAAAGAAAATCTGTGTTATCTTCTAATTATTGTGTTACGGTTTTGAAGAAAATAAGTACGAATTTTGTTACTAACCTTGATTGAAGTAGGTGTTTAAATGCAGTTTTTTCTTCTTATGCTGTGTCATTCTAACATATACTGTGTCGTAACATTCGTTTTAGTGCATTGCTAAGAATGAAGAACTCTCATCTGCTTTTTTATTTTAAAGAAGGAAAAATGCTTGTCAGACTGCTCATAAAATTTATGCATTTTCTTATGTCACAGTTTGAAGATAGTGTGAGAAGTTTAAACAGGAAAATTTTAGTCTTGAATTTGATGTCCGCTCTGGACAGCTATCCTTTGTAAATAAAAACCTGTTAAAAGGAGCTATGGTTAAAAAACCAAACATTTCAAAAAGCAGCCCACCAGCGGCTGAGAGATAAATTCGCTGAACACTGGTAGTTCGGTCCGAGGTTCAAATCCCACAAACGGGCTGGCTGCATGGGTGTTTTCATGGTTTTCCCCATGTGTAACGTGTATATGAGTCAGTTTTTCCTTAGGAAGTCCTCCACAAAGGCATCCCTCCCCTTAGGCAGATAGCCCTAGTTTGCTTTGCCATAATTAAATAAACCAAACACCAAACATTTTAAAAAGCATTGTACAGTACAAAGTCTTTAATCCGGACTCGTCAGGACTTCGACGATTCCGGATTAGGGGTTTTTCCGGATTATAGATCATCAATTTAAATCTGGTAAGATGACATGCAGAAATATAAAATTAAAAATATGAAACTGTAATTTATGAAATAAAGAGCAATTATGATCTAAAGGATATCGAAATTTACAAAAAAAAAAAAAAAAAAAAAAAAAGAGCTTAGTGTTTATTACTTTATTAAACATTTCTTTTAATGTAAGTTGTTTAAGTTGCTTTGTTTTATGTGCTAATACTTTCTCTTTAATTCTATAAACAGACATAATTTCTTGTTCAGTTACTAAGTTCAGCTGTTCAAGTCCTGTGATTTCTGTGCCGAGAATACTGACTAACAACCGAAATTTTTTCGTTTTCACTAACCTCTCTGTCACTTTCTTCATGCCTTTATTTATTTTTTGCAGAAATTCCACTTTTTGTTTGATGGACATCGAAACATGCTTTCACTTTGTACATCCTTTGCCAACTCCAGAATCGTAAACTCTTTTTGACGTAATCGAAAGTTCAAGCTTACTTTTTGTAAAATTGCTCTAACAGTCTGCAAAAAATAATAAGCCGGATCCAATTAGAAGATTAAGGAACAATGCAATCTGCAACATTAACTGAAATAGATAATTTTGGCCTAACTTATATTGTCCGTTATACATTAAACGTGCATGCGTAGAAGTTTGTAGCTTTTGAGTTCCGGATTATAGATCATTCCGGATTATGGACGTCCAGATTAAAGACTTTGTACTGTATATGATAATTAAAGAAGACTAAGTATGCAAGCTGCTGCAATGTATGGCTAACCCATACTTTAAAAGAGCAAAGTATGCTTGCTAGAGTTTCCTATTGTGATTCTTTGTGAAAAGAAATAAAGAAACTCTTTTTTTTTTTTAAATGACCTATAACTGGAGATCAGAAATAGGTACAATAAATAATTTTGCAAGAAAAAGTTCATGGAGTAAGCTAAAAGGATTTCCTGTGGTAACATTAAGAGGGGGGCTGCATTCCCAGAATGTAATGCTTTGTGTATGATGGGATTAAAAAAAATTGTGTACTATGAATTGTTGCCACCAAGTCAGGCAATAAATTTAGAAAAATATTGTTCCCAAATTGCAGTTTTGAAAGCAGAAATTGAAGCAAGTTGGTCAGAATTAACCAATGTTTGAGGTATTGTCTTCCATCATGACAGTGCTTGGGCCCAGTTTTCAATGAATGTCCATTAGACTCACTGAGTATAGCTGGTATATTTTATCCCACCACCACCACCACCACCACCACAGATACCAGACCTTGCCCTCTTGGATTTTTATTTTTTCATGCCATTTCAAAATTATCTGAATAACCTCGAGTTCACTTATTTGGAGACTGTCAAATAACTTCTTGACTTTTAATGAATAATGATGTTTTTGAAAAGGGATTTTTATTCTTCCTGAGGGATGTCAAAAGCTCATGAATGGTGCTTATGTGATTGAATAAAATTTTCATATGTTTTTGTACGGCTTCATTTATATATGCCATTAAACTGCAGAATTTTAAGCATAACCCAATATTTTAGCCAACAGTTATGCTTTATTCCTAATATCTGTTGACTATAATAATATGAGATCTTGACACTAGAAGTAAATACATTGAATGGCTTTCTGAAAACCAATGTACAGATCTTCGAGCCAACATCTGTTTTGTGAACCTTCTTCTCCTGGCATGCTTAAACATGCAAACAATTCTTCTCCTGTGGCAGCACCATTTTAATTCTCCAGGCAGTAAAACACCATTTTGTGGGTATTTTTTTTGGGGGGGGATACAAAATCTTTCATTTGGGGTGGTATCTTTTTCTTGGAAGAATTGTTTACTTTTCTGTTAAAGCGAAGTCACTGTCCCCCATCGGCATCAGATGCTCTTAGTTTGCTTTGATTTCTTTAATTGTTTTAATAATTATCACTCACACAACCACATTTTTCATGAAATTAGTGTTTTCATTTCTTTCTTTCTGCTCCTTTTTAACTGCAGTGAATTCCATGACTTGAGATTTGTCTGGGCACAAATAAGGTGCAACATTCTTTCTAAATATATTCGAATAACCATAAATTAAAATGTGACTTAGTATCAAGACAGCTATGCAGCCTTTGTGCATTCCTTTCATTACTACTGATTCATTTACTTATGGTGTCAGAAGTTTACATCTATTCAGTTTTACAAACCAAAACTTTCTTCAAATGAATCCCAACACAACGATCAATTGGAATAATTATGTGAGGAAGTTATGGGCCAATTTCTTGTTATTTCATCCCAACATACAATTATGGCATAAAATTGCGGAAACTGATAAAATATTATTAAAAAAATAATGTAAGTCATGTTTTTTCATTTTTGGAATTTTTCTGTGGTTGAATTATATAATAAATGTGCACTTTTTTTAATAATAAGTGAAGCAAAATTATTCTTCCCACTCAATAATAAAATGTCTTCTGGTTCTTATTCTTTTTTCCATGGCAGTACTCTGCTTATAACTCGAAATACAAATTCATGAAATGATATGTTTATGTAAGAAAAGGTTACAGATGTAAAGCGCATCCTGGACAAAGTACACAAAGCTACTGTGAGCAGAAAATAGTTCACCATGCATGACATCAAATGTTTCTAGTAATCACTTTATTCATCTAGTTTTGTAGTGTAATCTAGATGTCATTAAGATTTTTATTAAAAGTTTAATTATGTAATTCATACAATTTGTAAAATGAAGAAGAAAAATTTCAAAAAATCTAAAATTCTGAACTTAGATATTCGAACAATGGGCACTTTAAATTTGCTTTGTGGATACCACATCACTGACCCACCAGTATTTAATATACCAAATAAAACTTATGCATTGCTAATTTTAGCAAGTAGTGCTTAGTGAGATATATTAATCTTAAATATAATGTTTTGTGTGAATATGTATATTTAACTGATTCTTATAATTTTTAAACAGTTAACCCAGCAAATAACTCTAAACTTCTCAATTTGTAACTTGCTATTTAGATGAAATTTAGTTAGACTTTTCTGATCCTGTTTCAACACTGATCATTTCTTATTATAAAATGTACTGTCAAAAATGTTTTTTGTATGATGTAGTGAAAATTCTAAAATTCTAATCTGATTCCCCTTCCCTTTGTGCTTTGAATTAACTACCTCCTTATTACTAACAAAGCCTTGGAAATTTGTCCGTCTTTCTCTCCTTCCCCAGCCAGCTCCCTTTTTTACTGCAGACAAAAGTAGTGGTGATTTACTCAGAAGTTGTGATGCAGTTCAAATCAACATAGAGAGCCCAACTCCATCATCATCCCAAATTTTAACACCATCATCAGAAGCAAAGAATATCTCCACCGATTCAGAATATCCTCATCTGAAAGTGATGGATAATGATGAATGTGCTAAAAAGAGATTCACATCCAGAAAACTTAAAGCAAAGCGGGTTATGCAAGCTGTTGTTGTAAGTATAATATTTATTTTTTTTTAAATTATTTAAATTAGCTAAGTAAGCATTTTCTGCCAATTCATTAATGTGACAATGAGTTGGCAACTTTTCATTTAGGTTCGAATGATCAGAAAATAAGTTTTTTGTTTAAATAACTTTAAATAAAAAATATTCTTGGATTATTTCCTGAAGCACTTTATGTAATTGATATCAGAGATATCTGCTGCATAGCAAAAATTAAATAGAAAGGAGCTTCTACAGCAGGTTTTGTTCCAGACCTTCAGTTTTGTTAATCAGTCCCTGAGCATGAGCCTTCCCTATCCCCTTGTTAATATTATTAAGTTCTGTTAATTAATTCAGTATATTCTGGCTGTATTGTATAAATTACCCAAGGCAGTAATTGTAGTATAGAATTTTACTGTAATTATGCAATATGAATGGTACTGATGTTTAAAATTTAATTTTTTAATTGAAATATTTGAAGGAAGATGAATAAGAATAATTATGAGTTGCTTTTTTCTTTAAATCTGTACTCTTCTAATTTACTAATTTAAGTAAGGGTTATTATGCTGGGACATTTTTTTAAATTAATTTTTACATATTTTGTTTCTTTTTCTGAAAAAAAAAATTCAGTGATGATTAAGGGGTGCAAAATGAAAATAAATGATCTTAAAATCATGTTTTAGTTTGTTACAAACATACTATTTCTTGATGCAGTTCATTACAAAATACATTTTTTGCTTTTATTGTTTTAATTGTATTTTTCAATTAAAGTATTACATTAATAAAATTTTTAGTATTTTCTACTTATGTCAAATTGTTATTTGTAGTTATTAGAAAAGTACACTGAATTAGGGATAGATATGGCTATGCAAATTTTATAGTGCTGCGTGGCATCTGTGCTCGCATGAGGAAGTTGTGGTAAGTGCACATACAGCTAGTACTATGGTTGTTGTTAATCAGTCATTTCAATTGCCAGTATGGGTAAAACTTCTAATTTAGACAGCTTCGATCTCGGACAGATAGTAGGCACTCGGCGCATGGGCCATTCAATTTCCAAAATCCTCAGTGGGCTAGAATTTTCAAGGTCGACAGTGTCAAGAGTATACTGAGAATACACGGATGGTGGGAACAAGAACTAGCCATCAAGCAAATTGCAAAGGGCAATTAACCTAGAACAAGCATGGTGTGAGACGGCTCAGATGCATTATGCATAGTCAATGAAGCCAAACATTAGCTCAAATCTGAATCAGAGCAACAGCCATACAGTCAGTAAAAGGATCGTGTAGCTCTCGCTTCATCATATGGGCTTTGGAAGCCGTAGACCCACGAGATTACCTTTGCCGAATGCATGCCGTTGAGCTGCACTTCTTGCCTGGGCAAGAGAATATAGAAAATAGACTATAGTGGACTTGATATGAGTAGCATGGAGTGATGAGTCTTGATTCTGACTAATTGATACCGATGGGAGGCTGAGAATATGGCATAAGACTCATGAAGCCATGAACCCTGAATGGCAGTTTGGAACTGTACAAGGCCATGGTGGCTTAATCATCGTCTGGGATGTTTTCTCTTGGCAGTGTTTGGGATCTTTGGTACTTGTACCAACCTCCTTCAATATGATTCAGTACATAGAGTTACTGGGTGATCATCTACATCTATTTATTTATGTTGTCCTCCATTGACATGGAAATGAAGTATCCCATCAAGATAACTGAACCTTCTCACAGGTCCCGGTTTACTGCTGTCTGTTTGGATGAGCGTTGTTTTAAATTTCTCTGTCATAAATTGGCTACTTAAAAGCCCTGACCTAAATTCTACTGAGCATCTTTCAGACACTTTGGAGAAAGGTTTAAAATCTTATCACACAACACTAGCGACTCTTCCTAAGTTATAGACAGCTCTATCTAATGTTTGGCAAGCCATTCCCATAGAATGCGTCCAGAAACTTATTGAATCTATACTTCATCATTTGGGAGCCATTATAAAGGCCAGAGGAGGCCCAACTCGTTATTGACTAGCTATCCGTAATTCAGTTGCACTTCGATGTATTTGATTATTTTAATAAAAATATTATATATAGCATGACATATCTTGTAGTATTTGGAAAGAAAACTATTCTTTTAAAAATGTATTATATCTTCTTTTAGAAGTACATTATATCATTTATTAATAGATTTTTTTAAAATATTTTTTAGCGTTTACAGGGGACTGAAAAAGCAATCTTTTAATAAATCGATGGATTCTTTAAATACCAGTTTGGATAAGTAAGAAGTTTATATAATTTTCATGATATTTTTTTAATTTCTGTATGTGTCTGTATTGCTGCTTTGGTAATCATGTACTATGCGATCTACTACTTTTAGTAAGCTGTTTGTTTTTAGATGGTGGCACTAAAATTGATTTTGAATTTCATTTCTTTTTTCCTGCCATTTTATCACATGCTCAAACTCAACGTATGCTGAAAATGTTTGTGCACTGCAGATATATGTAAATTCTTTATTATTAAATTTGCTTTAATTTTTTTGCCTGATGAATTTTGATATTTAAATTATTTTGTAATGTTCATTTTTTAATGTAAATTCTTATACATTTATGTTTTGTAAATAAAATACAAAATAGAAACACCAGCAGTTTGATAGCATTTGAATTGGTTGGGATTTAATTATTTTGTTAGATTAAAATTGGAAATGTATTAAATGAAGTGACCTCTCTCTAAGGCGATTATTCTAGATGATTTTGATCTTTTATTGGGGTAATGTTCAATGCTGGTATAGAATATTTTATGTTAATTATGGAATTTTATGATTTGGATCTTGGCTGTAATTTCGCCTTTCAGTTAGCCTCCACCAGGATGTGAATAAGTAAAAAAGTATTATTTAAAATGAGGGTTTTGAATGTCTTAAATATAGAGCTGTTGGTAGCAGTGCTTGCAACTTTGCTGTCATCCAACTCTGCCAATTAATATATCAGCATTAGTCATGTGCTAGCCAAAGTTAAAACATGATATAAGTTTTGAGCCAGCTTATTAAATTTATATAGTCTTTAGCTATGATCTTTTTCATATTGTAAATTCAATTTTATGTTATTTTAATACCTGCAAGGGGCAGAGTTTTGAGTGTATGTACGAGTTTTGCTTTCTATTCAATTCAAGCGTAAAAAAAGTGTTATTTAAAGCTTTCATGAGGCTTTGCCATACATTTTCAGACAAACTCACTTGTAGTCTAATAGAGTCTGAAGGTTTTTTAGGTAATATTGCACAATTGGAATCATATACAGGTATTTATTTTTGTTCTAAAAAATACAAGTCCTCCCCCCCAAGCAATTGGTATCTTAAGTCACCACAGAAGATTTACTGTATATTTTTACAGAAATCTATTCATTAAATTAAAACCAAAAGTATATTAAATATATTAAAAATTTTTATCAACCTGGAATATATTTAGACCTCAATCTTGAATCTCGCAGGAAGGTGGAAAAGATTCAAGTTAATGAGCTTTTAATTTCGTATTAAATATTGAACAGCAGTGCATATAATGTTAATACCATAAAACGTTAATAAAAACATGCAGTGTTATTAGTTTACATTTTAAGCTTTTGAACAAAAAATAAAAGTTTTATAAAGTTTGTTAATTCGATGCATTTTAAAAATGTAAGTAGTAATGGCATGGTAACTCTGTATTTTCCACAGTTTTGGCATCTATTAGATTAAAAGTCCCATGTGTAGCAACCAAAATGTCAACTTCTGAAAAACAAAATATCAGGATTCTAAGGAGTAGAGTTTGAACGAGCTTAGGCTCGAGCTTGATGCTCGATAATTTTTGGTCATTTTCGAGTACTTGATACTCGAATCAAAGCCCGACGGGCTTTCTAGCTCTGTACATACAAAATGTTTTTCGCTCTGCATTTTAGTTTTAATTTATTTGTCAACATATTTCTTAAGAATCCTAGAAGACATTTTATTGGTATCATAACTGCTCCTTTTTAAGTACATAAAAACTAAAACTTTTATAATTGTATTACAGATAAGTAAAGTTAAACAATAAAAGGATTATAACAGTAAAATAATGTTTATAGTTTATAATAATATTTATAGTTAATAAAACATGTTAAATAGTTCAAGGATATATACAGTAAAATGCTTTTACTTTTATCAGTACTTTTACCTGAACAGTGTTGAAACTTTGTTTTGGTAAAGAGATGAATTTGTTGCCGCCTACAGTACAGTACATAGAAATGCAAGGATTTTAAATCTTTACCGATAGAAACAATATACTTTTAATTTTAAGTAGCAACGTGTATGAAATATTAAATAATGATTTTCTTAGTATCAGTAAAAAAACAAAATTACAAATTGTTGAACATTGAAAATGCCATGTTTTACAAAACAAACATTTATTACAGAGTAATACGCAGAGACACAAGCAGATCATGTTTTAACAAATCATAAGCAAATAGAATGGGATTAAGTTTTGAAATACTTCAGACCTGACAGAAAGCTTGGACGTGATAGAAAGCTATGCTTCCTTTTAACCAATAAGAATGCGATTACTAATATCTCAACACAAATTAAGTCAAAATTTTAGCAGTATTTTGGTAAAAATGGTTAATATTATTGGAGTTACAGCCGTGAATACATGCATATTCTAGAGTAGTATTTTCTATTTTTTTTTCTAGAATAGTAATCATGCCGAAAAACAAAAGATCAACCGTTTTGAGTCATTTCGCCAAGGCAGACCAAAATTATGCATGCTGCAATAAATGCAATAAAAAAATTTCCATTTTAAATGGAAATACATCAACAGTGTGTCGTCATCTAAGCAGCGTTCATAACATTGACGTTGACAAAGCAGAGGCAGAAACGACAGCTAAAAAAACAAAAACTTTGGATAATTTCGTAATCAAAACATCAATTGAAGAGATTGTTGCAAAAATGGCTGCAGTAGATGCTTATCAATTCGTCAAATCACTCAGTCAGAGTTTATTCGGCAATCATTGGCCTTAAGGGGTATTGAAGCTTCCAGCCAACAAAAAAATCTGCAATGGCTCTTGTTCATAACCATATGGAAACTGTGAAAAAAAATCAAAAATGATATTAAAAAAGATATTGGCGAATCAAAGAAATTCTCCATTACCATAGATGAATGGACCAGCATTGGTAACCGGGGATTCCTGAATATAAATCTGCATACTACCTGCCAAAAAAACATCAATCTTGGACTGGTAAGAATTTTTGAAAGTTGCGATAAAAAAAAAAAAAAAAACCCAAGAACTTGTAGAAGAGCACCTTGAATCTTTTGGTCTATCATTTAAGCATGATATTGTATCCACTACTGGGGATGGAGCAAGTGTTATGATCAAGCTCGAAAAAGAAACACCTGCTTTTTATCAAACATGTCTGTGCACGTGCCTTGCATTTGGCTGTTACAAAAACTCTTTATAAATGAAAAGTCAGGGACAAAAAGAAAGTATTAGACGAAAGTTCAGGTATAGACTATGATTTTGATGATGTTGATAATGGTTTAAGCATTAATGAAACTGAATTACAGAATGAAACGTTCAAGGAAAACATAAATATTGTGAGACAAGTTGTAATTTTTTTCAAAAATTCTGTTGTGCATTCAGATTTGTTCAAGTCTAAATGTAAAGAAAAATTACAGATAGAGCAACAACTCTATTTGGATTGTAAAACCAGATGGAATTCAATGCTGAAAATGCTTAAAACATTTGTAAAATTGTATGACGTTACAAAGGATGTACTCATTGAACTTGGATCTAAACATATTTTAACAAATTTAAACCTGGAATTAATAAAATTGATAGTCTTGGCATTAAAACCAATTGAAGTGGCACTTAAGGCTATGGGTGAAAAACAAGCCACTTTACGAATAGCATATATTTCTATCAACTTTATGCGAGAGAATTTACCTGTACAAGAATCTGAAATAAGTAGTTCTCTTTCTGAAAATATTGATTTTTTACATCAATAGCAGAATCAACAAAAACATCATAGATTTGATGAATTCACTAAACAACTTAAATAAAACGCCATCAAAAGCTTCTATAGAACTAACAGCTGCTTTGATGAAGTGTTTATTTCCGTCACCAGATTCATCACCAAATTTATCAAATGAAAAATCAAGCAGTGAAGCAGAAACAACTACCAAAGTTGGTGCTTCTCTTGAAGAAACACTTAGAGTACTACAGTACAAAGTCCGTAATCCAGAATGATCTATTATCCGGACCTCAAAGCCACAAACTTTACGCATGTGCATAAAGAATGCGCATACATTACGCATACGCACATTGAAAGAAATGTTTAATAAAGTAAACAAATAAATATTAAGCTTTTTTTTTTTTTTGTAAAATTTGATACCCTTTAGATCATAATTGCTCTTTATTTCATAAATTACAGTTTAAATATTTTTAACTGTATAATTTCTGCATACCATCTTACCAGATTTAAATCGATGATCTATAATCTAGAAAAAGAAAAAACCCTAATCAGGAATCGCGAAAGTCCCGATGAGTCCGGATTGCAGACTTTGTGCTGTATTAGAAACCCCGACTAGCAAACTACCAGAAGGTGACCACTTTAAAAAATTAAGTCAAGAATTTAATTTGTCAAAAAGTAATGGTGAATTGACTGTAAATTTAAAGTGGTTACTCAGGGTTTGTACAGTCCTTAAAAGTCCTTAGATTTTTTGCAATCGTTTTTTGGTCCTTAAAAGTTCTTAATTTTGGCCAAAATCAGCAGACGGTCCTTAATTTTAATCATCTGAAATTTCTATCTGTTTTTACGACTGCCATTTTGAGTGTGAATTAGCATTTCAGAGGAATATTTTTGGCGATTCACTGACATATCTTTTGAATGGTTTTATGGGTTATAATTTGTTTCTGTTTCTAATAAAAGAGTGATGCGATACTCGAGGTTCTAAGCAAGAAGTGAAACATAAGCATACAAAATTCATTTTTTTCTAATAAAGAGCCCTTAAACAACTTTTCGCTTTTTTGCATGTGAATTCTTTTATTAAATGGTTCTAAATTTGGCGATTTTAAGATCAGCTTCTATAGAAAATTTTTAATTCCGAGATCTGAGAATTTTTGACGATTTTTTTAAAAACATTGTAACATTGAGAAATTTCATTAAAATAATGGTAATATATTGAAATTATATTTAAAAAATAACTTTAAAAACATTTTTATGTTTCCACTGTCATATTATAAAGTTTCATTTTTACAACTTATTATACAATATTTTTAATTTGAAAAACAAACAAGGTATAATACTGTAAAGCACAATTTATGAAACAGCTCTTAGAAAAAGCAAAATTAGCTATGTAATTAATTAAAAATGTCTTTTTTTAAAATTTTTTCACAGTAAGAGTTTTTTTTTCCATGTAATTGTCTTGTAGTATTTAGAATTCTTAGAATATGCATCAGTTTTTCTCTATATAAAATTAATTTTACACTTTTTCTCTCCCTTTTTTTTTCCAAACTATTTCTGGATTTTTGCTGTTACAAAATTGGTAGGGATAATTTTTTTTAAGATTTTAGACAATGCAGCATGGAAAGTTTAGAAAGATTTGAAAGCAAGATTTATAGAAATTCTAGAAGATTCAAGAAATATGTGACAAAATGAAAAATGTCTCCATGGTATCAACACGTAATTGATGTATTGTACAGAAAGTTTGCAATGAATTTGTTATTTTTTGGAGAACGTTTGGAAGAACAATGAAAACATAATATTTGAATGTTTTACTTCTGATACTAGAATCTTAACATGTTTATCTTCCCTTTATTTTCTCTACTTTTCACTAGACACAAGCATGGAAAATATCAAAAATGCTTGTAATCTTATCACATGGGAAGGCATTATAGAAAGGGATTTTTTTATTAATAAAGAAATTGAAACTTACAATTTAAAAGATTAATCTAATATGTCTTAATGCACCATACTCATAGCTGGCACTAGGCATTTTCCCACTTGATGCAAGCTCTGTGGATCTTAAATTCTGTTGCCTAGTGCCTTTCTAAATGCATCCGATGCCAGCTCTAAATTCTAAAAGTTTTGCCATTTATACATTTTGTTGTTTGGTGTGTCATTCAATTCTAAAAATTCTGCCACATCAGCTCTGTAACTGGCATTTACCATATATATTTCATATTTCTTCTGAATATTCTTATTGCTAAAGAAATAAAATTAGCCGCTTTTTCTGTACATTCTAAATGCATTTAGTGTTTTTAGAATAACAGAAATCCTTAATTAAATCAAAAAATTCTAAAATGGAAAGGAAACGTGTTGAAGAAAGAAACTGATTACATAAAGAAAATTATTCTTCAAAAATATGCACAGTTATTATTATATAAATTACCCAATTATTTATGATTTCAGCCTTTACTGTAATTTCCCATTTCTATTTCCTCATATGATAGAGTTACTGAGCCAACAATCTGAGCGGTCAGGGTTTTTGCTAAGAAAGCACAAATTTCCCAAAACTACGATGAGAACAAATTATGTTTTTGATTTTAATGTAAAAATTCTCCTGGTATTACATACCTAGATTTGTGTACTTTTGATATATTGCCTCAATTTCTCTGACATATTTTAATATGTACATAATATATACATTCTTACAGATATATAAAAAAATATTTAGTTAATATATATTGCCGCTTAGAGGGTTAAATTAAAACTAAATTGTATAATCTTTGACCACTAGTCCACATTTTTAGTTTGAATTTGACTGTTCTTGTTAATTAGTCACCATGAGCTGTAATTGATTTTGTTAGCATCAGAACATGCCATTATGTTCTAAGTTCTTTTTAAATAAGAGGCTTATTTAAACCTTGTCTGACTTTGTAAGTTACTTTCAGACATAGCAATAATTTGCTTACATGTCTGTCGTGGTGGGGAAGGGGGAGGGAGAATTGGACTATTTAACTGTTACCAGATCAAAGTGAACCCTCATTGGTACATTGTGGAGAGGTTAGACAAAGTTAGGAGATAAATTACGCAGAAACTAGTGTGAAGCAGTGGTTTTTGCATTATCAAAGACAAATTCTCTAATTGTTAGAAAAGATGCTTAAAGACAGAAGGAAAGTCGATATAAACTAGCCAAAATGTCTGTTAAGGCTTCAAATTAAACATGACAAGCATAAATATTTTGTTGAGTGTTTGTTGTACAAAACATTTAAATGTTTTGTAGCTTTTAATGTGTAATATCGTAATATCGTTTAAAAATCAATGTCATGAATTACATGTATTTTAAACTGTGAAATTTTATTAGATTTTGATTTTGATAGGGCTTTTTTTAACAAATATTGTTAAAAAATAAAATTTAATAGTGGCCATGTAATTCCATAATGACTAAGGTTATTAACCTACCTAATTTAATTATTGATAACTAACTGTTTATGCTTAAAAATTTTCTCTGCATGTTAAAGCGAGTTATCGCCTTTCATTAATACTCACTGTGGTTAGGCCCACCAGCAGCCGAGCTGTAAAGATGCTGAACACTGGTAGTTCGGTCCAAGGTTCGAATCCCGTGAACGGGCTGGCTGCATGGGTGTTTTCGTGGTTTTCCCCATGTGTAACGTGTATATGAGCAAGTTTCCCTTAGAAAGTCCTCCATGAAGGCATTCTTCCCTTTAGGCTGATAGCCCTCGTGTGCCTTGCCATAAATAATCCAATGCACACTGTGGACACAAGATAAATTAAAAAAATGTCAAAATTCAAGTAAAACGTATTCTTTGCATCTAGTGAAACTTAAAATAATACAAAACAACTTATCACCTCTGGTGCTTTAATGGCTTATTGGACTGATTTACAAACCCCTGGAACTCTATATGAAGCTACAACACTAACTGCATCAAAAAGAGCCTGACTGACTTTCAACACTTGCCAACTGTGCCTACATCAGGCCTTTCAGGTTTGTTTGAATCAGCAGGTCTCTCTGTAGATTAAGCAGTAGGGGTGACAGCATTCAGTCTTTTAATTATGAATCATGCTGATGATCTTACTTATTATTTTAACTTATGCCATTTGACAAAATCTACCTACTATTTACGAAACCAAGTAGACTGGCCAAGTATGTGACAAAATGAGGCATAAAAAAATCAACATAAAGCTACTGTTAGTAAAACGTAAATGTCACTTATCTTCTTTCAAATATGTCCAACTATTATAAGTGTAAACTATTTAATGCTACTTGATAAATTGCATAAAGTTTATTTTATTCTCAAACTCATTAATAATTATGTTAATTCATGTTTAGTAATAATGCATACTACTTAAAGATCTATTTTATTTTTAGGATGGTATTACAAAAGTGAAATTCAGGCATAGATAATATTTTTAATTGAATTTATTCAGTTTCCATTTGCTCATAGGTCCTTAATTTTTTTCATTAATGGTCCTTAAAAGTACTTAATTTCCGTGGGCAGAAATGTGTACGAACCCTGTTACTTGAAGCTATTTACAGTATAAAACCAACGTTGATTGATTCTGAGAGGGCATTTTCCATGGCCAACAATTTTTGCACCAAAATTAGGTCGAAGCTATCAGATAAACATTACATGCACTGGTGTTTTTAAAATATTTTTTTCATTAATATAAATGCATAAATAAATGTTAAGTAAAGAAAAAGTTTCTTTTAAATTTCTGAAAAATATTAATTGCTAACAATTGATGCTAACAATTATTTTAAGTCCATTATAAATCTTTTGATAATGTAAGTATGTCAACTTCAAATGCTCGAAAGCCCGAAACAATCGAGCTCGAGCTTAACCGAGCTTCAAATCATCGAGCTTTACCAAACCCTACTAAGGACGTAATTTTTGTGAAAAAAGGAAGACCGTAAATTACAGTTCTCCCTGATTGATCATCATTGCATTAGGGGCTAAAGGTCATAGAAATTTCTCCACTCCACAGGAAAGTGCTGTTAGGCAAGCCATCAAGTTGCTAGGGCCTACTGAGGGCTTCTGGGAAAAAATGGTGGAGATCCAAGTACTGATTCATTTACTCTGACATAGATATTGGTTATTTGAAGTGGCAAAGGTTATCGTTGGAAAATTATGTCAGTTTAATGCTAAACATTCAAGGAATAATTTTTTTGGTATAAATGAAGAAATTGAATTAAAGAGATTTGAGATACTGATATGTAACTGTATTTTAGTGTAAAATATGTACTGAAAGACCCTGAATTATGATAAAATCTAAATAATATCTGGAATATCATGAACAGAACTATACAGCGTAATCTGATTAACTTCTTTGGACAGAAATAGAGTAACTATTATAGTATTTAACAGTGGCTTTAAAATATTAAATTATGTTCCTCTGTATATATTTGAAGTTTGTTTTTTCTTTTCACAGTCTGGATATACCTGATATAGCTATGCGAAAAACAAGCAGCGAAATTGCTCTGAATGAATTAGGATTGCAAGGAAGTCCAAAGTTGTGGATTGGTAAAGATTACATCAATTTCATTGTTAAAGATTTTGAGCATTTGCACAAGCCTTATCAGGGTAAGCTTCCAGTTTTTCAGAGTTTAATTTTGATTATTTTTGTAGCTAATTAATTGAATTTTAAAGGCATTTAAAACAATTTTTAAATTTTTAATCCTGCATAGATGTAAATATTTTAAGAAATTAAAAAAAATCGGTGTAATGAAAAAAATTAAAATATGCATTTTCTGTGTATCAAATAACCTTATTTAATAGCCATTATTTTAATTCCACCTGTGTTGTAATAGTCATCTTGAAAATGTACAATGTTGTTAATCTGATAATTTGTAAAATCCATTCCATCTTTTGGCATTTTTAGAAAAAACACGTAACAGCTTGATTTACCATCCTAAATTATTTAGATGGAATTCTGATAATTACATCCATTCATCTGTAAAGCATTTGTTTTAATTTAATGTAAGGACTCTATAATATGCTGCCATTTCAAAGCTCTGTTTTAGGCTTCTATATCTGAAGAAACTATTAAGCTTCATTATAAAAACTTCATAGAATAAAATTAAGAGCTTGACTTTCATAAATATATGCATAAAAAGTATTTCAGACTTTATATAAATGTTGCAAAAATGATTGCTTCATATTCAAACATTTGATTAGCTTTATTTTAAATACTTTTTTTTTTTTTTTTTTTTTTTTTTGAGTAAATATATGCTTATCAATGTTTAGTATTGTTAAAAAATTTTAGAAAAAATTCACTATTTCAATGCTTTGATGTAATATTATGTTGTTAGTATTCTTATCAGTTATTAAATAACATAATAAGGTTTTTCAAATTTCCCATATTGTGCATGAAATGTATCTGTGTAACTATGGTATTTACAAAAATGATACTATAGTATTGTCAAGCAGTTACAAATATCTTAAGTGAGGAATTTTTATCTTTAATTTGCCAATAAATAATAATATATAATTTGATGATGTGTAATTATTTTTTATTAATGTTTGTTTAATATTAGTATCAGAAATATCTCTCCAAATATGTCAAATATTGTTTAAGTACATGTCTAAAGTGTGCTTAAATATGGGGTCATCTTAAAATTTCTGCAATTTTTTTCAAATCATAATGCTTTTTTATCCCCCCGTAAATATTTTCTTATTGCTTGTAAGGAAAGATCTTGATCGAAATGGATGTTTAAATAAGATCTTTGCGCATGTTGCATAATTAACGTGTTTTATGGCATTACTCTTTTTTTCACTGCAGTGCTAAAATCGTAGAACTCAAAAGTTCATTTTTATTATTTTATGCTCTTTTATTTTAAGAAAGGGGAAAATACTAATCGGACTATTTCTAAAATATGTACCACACATGGGCAAAATGCTGTTTCGAATGTCGCAATTCGGAGGTGGTTTGAGCTTCAGGGAAATTTCAGCCTCAAAGATGATGCCTACTCTGGATGACCATTTTCTTCAAACAAATACCTATTAAAAAAAGCTATTGTTGAAAGTCTAAGTTACACAATTTAGAAACTACCAGACAGAATAAGTATTCCCAAAAGTACAGTATGTGATCATTTGAAGAAGCCTGGCTATGTAAGCTGCTACAATGTATGGTTATCCCATTCTTTAAGAGAGCAGAATATTTTTTTGGTCAAGTTTTAGTGTATGACTCTTTGCTGGAAAAAAAAAAAAAAAAAAAAAAAGAGGGCTGCAATCCATTACTGGATATGACAAGTGTATACTATATGGTAATGCTACAAGAAAAACATTATGAGATAAACCAAAAGAATTTTCTTTAATAACATCCAAGAAGGGGGGGTTGCATCCCAAAAATTAATGCTTTGTGAATAGTGGAACTACAAAGGAATTGTATATTGTGAATTGTTTTCATCAAATCAAATAATAAATATTTTTTGATTTTCTTTTAAATTTTTATTTATTTATTTTTTATGTATTGTTTCCACATAGCAATTTTAATAGAAGAGATTGAAGCAGTGTGCCCAGAACTGACCCATCTTTGAGTAGCTTTCGTCTTCCATTATTTCTTGGAATGTCAGGCAAAAACTTACTGCATATGGCTAAGATGTTTTGTACCCCCTTTCTCCCCATATTGACTACACCTTGCTCTCTTAGATTTTCATCTCTTCAAGTCACTTCAGAATTCTCTGAATGCATTGAAGTTCGCTTCTTTGGAGACTATTGAATAGAATGTTGATATTTTCTTTACAAATAAATATAATGACTTTTTAAAAAAAGGAATTTTCCACTTTTTTCAAAAAATCATAAAATAAACTAGATCTTATATGTGGATTTGATGAAAGTTTCGTATGTTTTTGTACTGCTTCATTTGTATTCATCATCAAAAAACTGGAGAACTCTTCAGATGACTGGATATTTTTTGCATTTTGATTTCTGCCTTTTAGGGAAGGCGTAATTTAGAGATTGATTTGGCTAGAATACTAAAGTGACAGTCTTATGGTAGAAATTGGTGGAAAAATTTATATTTACCTTCTTTATGATTTCTTTTATGTTACATAACATCCGGCAATACCAGTTCATATAATTTCAGAAAATCATGATATTTGTATTCATGAGAGTGCTGTATTACGTATTAATGCCCCATGTGTGCATACATTACAGTCAAATCTATTTTTTTTTGTTTCAATATTCAGTTTTTTACATTATTTATTTTATTTAATAATGTAGCTACACTTTAAAATGTATTGTTATTATTTGAAAAGTGGGAAAAAATCAATCATTCTTCCATAATAGATTTGATTGATAGATACGCTACTCCTCGAATGCCATGGCATGATATTGGACTTTATGTACAGGGTGCTGCTGCAAGAGATGTGGCTCGACACTTCATTCAAAGATGGAATTTTACTAAGGTACATTCATCATTCAGTATTTTTAATATCTCTTCCAAAAAATTAAAAATATATATCTGTACTTTTGGTTTTGAGTCAGTGTAGTCTTCAATTCAATCTTATGATTCCTTAACTCTCTTTAACATTTACAAGGAGTAAATCTTCATTATTGATAGAATATTTTTTGCCTGGTTACAATTTGAAGTACTCCCCCCCTTAATAAAATATATCACCTTGAATTAGTTACATTTTTTAATAACTCTGCATTATCCATACTTTTTCTTTGTGAAATTATGTGGAATATATGTAATGAATAATATACGCTTAATCTATTTTAAGCATCTAACTTATAAACATGTATAGACATATACAGTTTGAAGTGAGGTTGACACCTGTGTGCTCATCTGGGGCATATTGTGTAACTCCAGGCCTTACTAACTGTTAAGCTTCTAACTCAAATGAAATTCCAAGGGAGAGGACTTGAGGGAGGGTTGACTGAAAACCATTATGTCACCTTGACAAATTATAATGTGAAGTCATCTTAAAACAGGTAACTCCTGTTTGTATGATCCTCAGAAATGATCCATACTGATATAGTATTTCATGAAAATGTCCACCAGTCTTTCATTTATCTAATTCTTATTACACTGACCTATCAGTCAATCAAAATCACATCATAATGATCTTCTGGAATATATTACTATGATAAAACATGAACCTTTCTCTGTGAAAATAGATATTTATTTTCTTCTCTGCAAGCAATGAAATTTAAATATAACTGCACTTGCATCCAGAATTCTTATCATTAATAGATAGAATGATTTTGATATGGTAGCTTTTAATGTTATTATATTGCCATTTGCTTCATCCTGTCGTATTTATTTGAAAAAAAAAGTTAAATGCTTGTTATAGTACAGCAATATTTTCCATAATCTGGATAACTGATTCTGCCAATATCCCAAACTGTTTGAAAGTAGACTAAATACATACATTGGCAACTAAATACATATATAAAATAACAGATCAAAATTTTATTTTTCCTCCTTTTTTCATTAAATAAAATGTGATTACTAAATTTTGATTTGTTTATTATAAGTAATTTTTAAAAATGCATGTTTTTTATAATTATTGTTTTATTCTCTGAAATTTGCAATATCAGTGTCTGCACGTTTTTCTATTTTGATCTTTTACTCTGCATACATTACTTTTGTAGTTACAAATTGCACTGTTTATTGCTTTGCAAATTGTAAGGTTATGTCGAGGACTGGGATTAGCTTCCGTAAATGTACTCTTGACAAGGTGCCAATCATTTCAATAATTTTTTCTGCTTGTTCAACTGTTCGTTTGCAGGCTTCAAGAACAAATGACCTGAGTATAGGTGTACTATAGCGAGCCTCAGAAAAATATGAATATATATGGTATCATATAACTTTAAAACTGTATAAAAATAAACCACACAAAAAAGGACTTGATTGTATAAAAAGGGGAAACAAACTGATCATTTATGAATCAAAAAATAATAGTCTGTACTAATTTTCTAGAATTTATTTTTATTTTGCTCAATTCAGTTACTTTTGAAATTTTTAAAACCATATTGAAGCCAAACTATCCAAGGTATTTACTATACAGTGAATTTTGTCTTTTAAGAAAATCTCAGAAAGCAAGCTCTTTTAAAAGGGCTTTAAAAGCTTTTTAAAACATCTTCGCTAGTATTCCGGAAAGTTGATATGAAAGCATAAGTGAAGTATGGTACCTTGTAAAAACTGCTAATAAGTTTGGAAAAAAATTATTCAATTCTGTAAAAATTAAGATGTTTTGTAAGTAGTTTTATATGTGGATTAAGGAATAATTCAGTTTCAAAAGACATGAAAAACAAATGATAAATAAACTTTAATTACATTCGAAAATATATAGTTGTATGACGTAAATACGTTAACAGCTCACTGTTTACTGAAAAGCTGCGTTGGGTGAAGTTTCTCTTTTGGCAGTTTACAATGAATTTTGTTCAGTAGGATTTGTTGATGTAAAATGTGTTTAGGAATTTTCTAATATTCACGAAACATTGCATGCTATATTTTTTTTTTTTTTTTTTTTGATAAAATGACTAAAAAAAAGGGGGATTAAAATTTGGAAGTTTTGAGTATGATATGTCTGAAAACTGCATTTGATGACAATATTTAGTATTAATTTAGAAGTCAAACAAAAAAAATCAGCGTTATGTTTTCAAATTTTCATGGTGCGTGTTATTGTATCTTAATATTTAGTATATTGAGGATTTATCTCCCAAAAATTTTTTTAAAATTCAAACACATAATTTTCAGTAGTTTGTAAATAGTTTCATTGTCACTGTTTTAATTAATTGAGCAAGATTTTGACAATCTTAAATCACTATTTATGATCTATCCAGTGGAAGTATAGAGTAAAAACAGTCGTGCATACCTTTAAACCTGCACTTCTTAAAGGTTTTTCATCCATGGCCCTCTTTCTCATTGAGATTTTTTTTCATGACCTCAGATATTAAATATAAAATGAAGCTATAAAACTAAATATTTTCCCATAACTATTTTATTTCTTTAATAAATAGTATACATATGAAAATTACTAGTCTTAGGATTTTCATGTATACAAAAGTTATTGAATAAAAATTGGCTTGGATGAAAATTGGAAAATAAGAGAGATGTGCTTATTTCTCCTTCAAAGCATTAATAAGACGTATATGCTTGTTTTTTGCTGCAAAACAAATTGATGCAACATTTGACATTGCTAAATGTAAAGCATTTTATCTTTTTTTAGTGTTGAATGATATTTGGATTTAACAAACATTAAAGTGGAAAAAGTAGTTTCACATAAGTGTGTGGTGCTAAATGGCAACAGAAGATTTAATATGTTGAGTGCAGTGTTGGTCCCTGATGGCAAATAGAGAAATTTTCATTTGGCTGGTGTCTCTCGCTGGAGACTGACGATGAACTTTCCCATTTAGCCAGTGTTGGTCTATAAAAACCAACAAAAGTATCAAAGTTAAAAAATAAATGTAGTAATTTCAATTAAATTTATTGAAACTAATTTAAAATTGTTTTAATTTATTAAAAATGATTTATTTTAGTTATTTGGCCACCGTAGGCACTTCTAAAAGGCACAATATTTGGCTGATTGCCTTTTAGATCAAACCATTCATTTTGGTAACCAAACATATCAAGCATAAACATGTGATATCTCTTTATAAATAATGGTGATGAACAGATTTTTGTCACTGTTACATTTTCTTTAGTTTACGTTTTGCTTAGTTTAAAAAAAAAAAAAAAAAAAAAATTAACACAGTGAAACCTGTCATTATGAAGTGCTCAATATTTCTTAAGCACTTCACGATTTTCTTTAAGACAGATTAGTCAATGTGAAAAGTTTAATCATCTGTTAACAACAGCACACACTTGTTGGGGTTAAATGTGGTCTGGATTGTTATTCCCGAGAGAAACTTTTCACTTCATGTTTTCCAGTTCTCTCGAAGGCAACTAAAATGAAGAGGTGATCGATGGCTTAATTGGTCATGCTTTATGTACAGCAGGGTTATATCAGGATCATACAAAAGAGAAGTCACATAAAAAAAAAACTGGAAATAAGAATGCAGTTCCAATTCCCTTTCAGCTGGCATTGCAATGGAACTACTGCTCATTTGAAAATGTGCCTTTTAGGGCATTGTCTTTCTTCATTTTTAGTTATGAGACTAGGCAACACAAAAGGATTTTCACTACATTGTATGAGGTACAGGAAGTGTTGTAATAGTGAAAAATTTCAGGTATCGTATATTGACAAAAATATCCATTTTGACATCTGTCATCTATTTGAACGATGTTTTTGCGTGACATCTGTACGTATGGATGGAACAAAGGACTCTTTTTTTTTTTTTCTCTAAAATGGATTCAGAAGAGATTTTTCATGATGTCCGTAGGTATGTACATATATCTCTCGCATAACTTGAAAATGAGTAGCCTGAGAATGTTGAAATTTTATGTATGGGACTGCTATAGCATGTAGTTGTGCACCTCTCTTTTTCATTGCAATTGGCCACACCAAATGTGTATATGTGTATATATATATTCTATGTAAGCTCAGTTTCTTTATTTTTATGTGTTGCTAAATAGCACATTTGTTGCTTTAAAAATGATCTTATGTTTCAGTTTAACTTTTTATGCTTTTAGTTAATGTGTATGTAATAGTTGTAGAATTATCAATGATTTAAAAGTTCTTTTAAGTGATGCTAAGCCTAACGAAGTGGCCATTTGTTTACATTACCTCTTAATAGAATAGGGAATTGAATCAGTATGTGCACCAACTTCAGTGCCTTTTCGCCGAGTGGGACGAAAAGTAAATTTTTAGTTTTGTGCACTGAAAAATTTGTCTTTCTGCCCAGAGACCAAATTGCTTGTTTTTGAATAGAAACTAATTTTAATCGTAAAAAAAGATTTTTAGTCCAAAGGGACAATTTTCCCAGAAGGACTGTTAATTCCGATTTGACATTTTGCCTTAATTCACTTTCTACATTGTTTCACTTTTCAAACTGTTGCCAGCAAATTTTATTGCCCTGTATTATATTTAAAGAAATCAAATAATGAAGACACTACATAAATGAATATATCTTTCTTGCATTAGGGTAAAATGATGGTACCTAGAGACTGACATCAAATTTCGAATAAGGTACGTTTCCACCCAAATATGGGCATCTGGAAGCCCAAATTTGGAATTTTGCTTTATTATCTATTTCATATTTTGTAAAACTTTAACGAATTTTTTATTAACAAACTCATGGATTTCAGAGCAAGCACTGAAAACGTTGTACAGAAAAAACATTTTTATTTCCATTACGCAAGACTGTGTATCCGAAATTCTAAAGATATGCTCATTTAAAAACTATTTTGCAATATTGTTGTTGAACTGAATTTTATGGTTTAAGTGTGAAGAACATGATATATAATAAATAAATTTAACACACAAAACGTTAAAAACGCCTCTTTGGATGTAATTTAAAATCTGAAACCTTTCAGATTTTTTTAAAACTTTTTTTTAATTGTATTCAATGTTTTATATTTTTCTGTGTTTTACAAGTTTTAATGAAGGTTTGAATTTTTATGTATTTTTGCCTTGCTGTGAAGTGAGAACTGAATTGACTGAATGAGAAATATATTTCTAATGAAATTTGAGGAAATAAGTTTAAATAAAATGCAGCAAAAAATGGTATAATTTAATAGGTCATACAAGGAAGTCATGTGGAGTCCATATCAGATATTTTCTCATGGGTATGGAAATGATATTCAACAGTGTGAATGGGAGAAATGGATAGTTCTCTAAACAGGTCTTGACAGCAGGTTAAAGGAGAAAAGAAACATTTCACATGCCAGTTTTAGGTGAAAAAGTTTATTTTTGGAGGGAAAGAAGGAAAAAAAAGCCACTATTTTAGTTTTGTAGGATAAAGTGATTAAAGCATGTATAAACACTGGTGTTGAATGTCACCTCTCTAAGACAAGGATTTCCACATAGACTGAAATTATCTCTAACATTATGTAGTCATCTTGGGGAGGTTTTGTTATATATTAAAGCTAATATTGGTGAATATAAGTGATGTAGAAATTTCTTTCATTATAAATTTGGATGAAAATATTGTAGAACTGTGTCAGTGCTCTTTAGATAATCTGTACTAAAATATAGTGTTATAGAAAACCTTAAATAAAAATTACTGTAGTTAAATTAAAATAGAAGAAAGTAGCTTTGTATTAACATAAAAAAAAGAGATACTTTTCAATTTCAGTAATGAAACTTATGTGTCTCTCAGTTTGAAAAAGCAAAATATTACGACACATATCCATGGCTTCTACCTAAGTCTTATGAAGGTTGTGAGAGTGTTCCACCTTTACACACCAGTGCTACCAACAAGCTGTTCTGTGCCAACTGCCAGGTTTGTAACTTCTCGCCTTTAAGTTTTATTTACTTACTATTTTCGCTTTTTGTTTCTAGTTTATTTATTTGTAGTAAAAATTTTTACATTGTTATTGATTTGAAATTAATATATAAAAATTTGGTATATTTCGTATATTTTCATCATAATCATGTATTGTTTTATTTATTTATATTTTCATGTATTAAATCTAAAAATTGAAAAAATTTAGATTTCAGTAATTACTTAGTTTGATGAAGATATTTAAATTCTTTATCAAATTTTACTTATTGTTCAATAATTTAATTGTGTAATTGTGTATTCAAATATGTTACACGATGTGTGTAACTTGTACATTTTTCTCTTTTAATGTTAGCCACTTTGAAGTGAAATCTGATCTGCTGAACTTTATTATCATATTGTATACTATTTATTTTTAAAATATGTTTTAGCTGATTATAATAATTGTTTTAATTTTTTCAGTAGTTTTATCTGAACTGTATTTAATAATAAGATAAAGTACAGTATTGTGTAAGAGAAATTTTATTTGAAATTAGTGCTTGATAAATGCTGTCACTCTTGTATTAATTTATACTTACATTTCTAAAGATCTGTGCAATTTTACCACTGTCGTTTGATCTAAATCTGCTAAATATTGAATTAATTTTTGAATTTCTGTTTCTTCCTCTGACCACTATTTCTGTGTCTTTGTGTAGAGAATAGAAATTTATTTCCCTTAACCTATATGTTTAGATCATGTGGTGTTACTTCTTTTTCTGATCCTTAAATTTTCTGCAGGTGTTACGAAGTGTAAGCACATGGTCTGCTGGCATCAAAACCATGGAACAGTCTATACATGATGCATATGTTTCTGTTATTGATAATTCTAAACATTATATATATATTGAGGTTAGTTATTACATTCATTATTAATTGAATTGTTTTATTATTATTTACCCAAAGTTAATAGTAATGCTGTAAGTATAGTATAGTCAGTGCTGCATTAATATTGTAAAAGTATATTTAAAGCTGTGAAGAATAATGTTATGTTAAAAGTATGTAGATCATCCATTGATAATAAAGTTTGTGGTAACTACTAGTAATATCTGCTTAGTAACAAAAGTAACATGAGAACTGATGAATGTACAGTTATTCCAATAAATGTTGTAAATTTTGCACCACAAAAAATATCTTGCTTAAATTAATTTGCCTATTAAAGTCTATAGCAAAATTACTGCCCATATTAATTGCTGATAGTAATATTTGGAAATATAAGGCATTATCAGCCATTTATTTTGAGGAAACTTAGGACTGAACTATTGAGAATGTTAAATGGTATTTGCAAGCAAGTACAATGATAACCCAAATGGGGGTTAGCCCATAAGGGCTATTAGTCTTGAAACAGCATTTTGTGTTGAATTACTTTTAAAATTGTTGCCGCCAAATATTATCAGCCTGTATTATATGTAAAAAAACTAACTAATGAAGAATCTACATGAATGTGTGTTTGCATCTCGCATTGTGAAAAAACAATGGTACCTAGAGGCATCAAATTTTGAATAACGTAGTCTTCCACCCAAACATGGAACCACTTTATATTCGTAATTCAATTCTAAATAGAATTCCTGGGGGTGGCAAACTTTAATATCAATTTTCAAGATTTTCCATTTTTTAGACATAAGTCTTTACTCATTATCTAAGATTGTATGTAAAGCTTTGCTAGTAGAATTGGTTTTCCTTTGAGGTAAGATCTTGCTGATATCGTGTAACTAATTTTATAGTTCTATTAATTTTTTGCATATAAAATAACTGATTTTTACATGTAAACATGTAGCTAGATAATGTAGTTAATTACTAATTGATATGACTAGTGTTTTTCTGAATCAAAGCATTAAATTGGAAGGAATACTTAAACAATTTGCTTACTAAATTTTTAAGTCGTGTTACAAACTTTATATACATTATTTTCTTTAGCATACTTAGTTTTTTTTTCCTTTAGCAAGATTTTAATATTTCTAACAATTATTATTCGTGATCCAATATGATACAAGTGTATAAAAATTTTATCTTTTTTAAGAATCTTTATCTGTTTCTACTCATTTCAGAATTAAAAATGCAGTTGCTGAATTATAGCAAATAAAGAATTTAGAAGAAAATTTTAAGTGTTTCAATAATCGAAATTTTGGGGCCTTTCAAATCAAATCAGTAGCAACCAGAAAGGCTTAACTTTTAACTGAAAATCAAGTTTTTATATATTTTGATTATTTTTCAATTTAAATGGAATTGGTAGTGATTTAAGCTTGTTTAAATGTAAAGTTTTTAATATGTAAAAACATTCTTGGATGTATAAGATTAAATACTTTATGTTTTATTTATTTATTTATTTAATTTTTTTCTTTCAGAATCAGTTTTTTATTAGCCAAGCTGCTGGGCATAAGGATGTTTCAAATGGAATTGGTGAAGCACTTTTCAGACGTATTGTGAAAGCACACAAGTAATTAGCCTTTAATCTTATTGAAATAGATGATACCTGCTTATGTAAAATGAATTCATTTCAGTTATTTTTCATAGCTTTGAGTTCCTTTATTTATTTTAAAACACTGATTTTTAAGTTGTTGGCACTGAGGTAACATAAGCTAAATGACAATTTTGAAGTTCTTGTTCTGTATATAATTATTTATTAATTCTTTTGAAATAATAAATTGATTCTTTTTTCATGTATTCCAAGCATTTTTAGCAAAAGTTTTACAGTTCAGAATTTTGTAGTGATTTTTGGAAAGTACCTCTTCTGGTAAATCTGTGTAAATATCATCAGCTTCCATTTCACCATTTACATTATTGTCATAAAGAATATCATCTTCAGTTCCATCCATAACATTACTAATGCAGAATTGTTTTAACCCTAGCAATCATATCTAATATATTTTTAAAACAGTGAAAACTTGACATTCTCCATAGCTAAATAAGACAGTAAGTTATTTTCACTCTTGGTGATATATAGCTGTATTTTTAGGGTAATTTTAAATTCTGCTTATGTAAGGTTTTCAGTTTCAACTGAATTTTGAAACTAAATCTTATTTTTTCAACTTACATGTGGATTGGCTTATATTAAGAAAAAATATATGCTAACTGTTAATATTTTATAAGGTATTTCTTCTGCCTTCACAGCAACCTTCATAGTGTAAATGGCCAGCACACTCGGCGTGTATCAAGAGGTCCGAGGTTCAAGTCCGGGCGAGGGCATTGCTTAATTTCACTTCCCTTCTTAAAAAATAACCTAATGTCTTCTACAGTGGTGTCCGAACTAAAAATGGTGGTGAATGGTGATTCTTAGCCACCATGATTTGGCGTTTGGGTCTTGTAATCCCCAGTCGCTCTTTAAAGGGGGGGGAGTTATAAGGTATTTCTCCCACCTTCTTAGCATTCCTTTGTGATGGAATGGCCAGCACACTCGGCGAGTATAGAGAGGTCCAAGGTTCAAGTCCCAGTGAAGACATTGCTCGTTTTTCATGACTCCTGCTTCAAAAAATTCTAATGTCTCTACAAGTTATATGAATTTGTTTATTATATTTCTTATTGCAAAATTTCTCTCTTTCTTCTTTCTTCTTTCTTTTCCCCTTTTATTACATAGCAACTAAATATTGGTGGGTAGAATATCAGAAAACACTGTCTAACTCACGGAGGAGCTTTCTAATTTCTAAAATATCGATAGCAGTGGTATTGTGCTATTTTAGAAGAAGCATTTTTTTCTGCTGGAAAAATGTCTAAGAAGTGATCAAGGATTTTGGCATTGAAAATTTCTGTTTAGATATTTTTCCAGCATTATTTCTTTCCTGGTAAAGGGCTGTGAATATGCACCAACTTCTATTTTTTTTTTCCCCCATGTGTCCTTCCTTTTATAACTGTGATCAATGCACAGTGATTATTTGTGGATTTATCATGATACATCTTTTATTTAATTATTTCTCTGATTAAATTACTGTAAACCAATTTTTTACTAGAGAAAGAGAGACCTTCCGTGTGTATGTTGTGATGCCTTTATTGCCTGCTTTTGAAGGTGAGATTGGAACAGGTACAGGCACAGCTATTCAGGCTATAACCCATTGGAATTATGCTTCTATATGTAGAGGACCTGATTCACTGTATCAAAGGCTAATAAAAGAAGGTTTGTTTAATTTCAGCCTCTTACTTAATTATTTAAAAATTATGCTGTGTTGTGTAAGAACAATGTAAATTTTCGTTATTTAAAATTATAATGAATCGTTTTATTCTGAAAAAATACTGTTTTTATTTCGTATAATGTATTTTTATTATTTTAATGTATTAGCACATTTAAAAAAAAATTTTTTTTATAAAATATCGCAGCGAAAAATTTGTTCTGTAAATGATTTTGACGATTTCATATGCAGAAAATTCTCTTTAATATAACCATCTGTGGCTCAAAAATATTTTGATCTTTTATGAAGCTAGTCATCTTAGATAACTAGACCAGCACTTATTTATGTTCACAGAAAAACTGATCATTTTCAGTGGTAATCAATCACCTTGTGAGAGTTCATTGTAGATGATCCTAAAATGCAGTGAAACCCCCATTTTTATTCCCATTTTAGGACTGCAAAGTTGAGGAGGTTAGTTCATACAAAATCAAAAACTAAAAATATTGTTCTTATTTAACTTTCAATTTACAGACTTTGTATTTGTCCAGGGCTTGGCATGATCAGCTGCTTAATTTCTTCATACAATTCTCTGAATTTGTTCACAATTCCTTTCCAATAAATAAATTCATTATCATTTTTATTTGAGATTTCTTGAACCTTAGTTTCTGCAGGTGAGGTGAACCTTCTCTAATCCAAATACATTATTGCCATTTTATTCCAGGATCATAAGCAAAACACTAACAGCTGTTTCAGCTAATTTTTCTGTAGTTATAATTTGTTTTAAATAATCAGAATTTATGCCTGCCATTTTTGTGAAATTATGACAATCATATATTCAGTCTTCCTATTTTGCAATCATTTCATAAAGAACAAGATAAGGACTTTTTTTTAAAAAGATTTTCAACATTCACCTTGCCAGTTGTGTTTTTATTTATGTTAAGTGTATTAGCTGTCATTCAAAGGGACAATATTTTCAACTCTTTGAGCTTGCAAAAGCAGACCAATCCTGCATTCATCATCGACATCTTCATTCCACCGTGAAATCATTCATAGCAGTGCAAAGCTTTGGATGCTGTTGATACTTGACCCTTGTGTGCTTTATATCATGCTATTTATCCCTTCATAGAAAAATTTTATTCCTAGTCTTTTCTTAGCTATGGAATCCATGACAGCAGATGCCTACTGGATCAAAACATATAATAACAGCATAGAAAACTGTGTCTGTAGGCAGATAATATTTTATCAAAAACAAGCTGAGAAGTTGTAGTAATAAATACTGTTGATTATTATTTTGCAAATTTGTGGAATTTGTTAAAAGGTTATCCTTACAACTTTATAGATGCACTGTATGTAACACACATAAAAAATATACCAATTAAATTCTCATTTTTTCCATCATTTGTTACAGATTATGTTTGTTATATTTTATCTTTCCAGCAATTTTAAATAGGATTGTTTCACGTAAAAAATATGCATTTGCTGAATAAAAAATAAAATTTTGACAAGTATTACATGTTTCCGGCTGTTTATGTTTCTTTAAAATAAAAATCTGTGCAAATAAAAAAAGTTCAGTATATTTGAATGAACAATGTTAAAAATTATAAAGTTTCTTTTCTGTTGCAGTGGGAGATCCCAATGCATATATAACTTTTTATGGTTTAAGGACCCATGGTGTATTGAGTGAAAAAATTGTAAGTTTATATTGAAATGAGAAATTTTATTCATTTAATCAATTATTGTGCTTAATATTTATTTACTTATTTATGAATAATTTTTCAGGTTACTGAACTTGTCTATGTTCACAGTAAGTTGCTGATAGCTGATGATAGAGTGGTTATCGTTGGGTCTGCAAATATCAATGATAGGAGCTTGTTAGGAAATAGAGATAGTGAAATTTGCATGGTTGTTGAAGATGTTGATTTTGAGAAAACTGTAATGAATGGAAAATCATATGAAGCTGGTAAATTTGCTTGCAGTTTAAGAAGAACAATTTTTAGGTAATATAAATTAAATATTTTCAATAAATTTTTAATTAATAATCAAGCATGAAAGCTCGTTTGTAGTTTCAAGGTTCGTACGATCCTTAAAAGTCCTTAATTTTGGCCAAAATCAGCAGAAGGTCCTTAATTTTAATCATCTGAAATTTCTGTCTGTTTTTACAACTGCCATTTTGAGTGTGAATTAGCATTTTAGAGGAATTTTGCAGCATTTCAAAATTCATTTTTTCTAATAAAAAGCTCTTAAACAACAATTCACTTTTGGGGATGTGAATTCTTTTATTAAACGGTTCTAAATTTGGCGACTTATCAACATTTTGGCGATTTTAAGATCAGTTTCTATAGAAATTTTTAATTCCGAGATTGAGAATTTTCTGACGATTTTTTTTAAAACATCGTAACATTGATAAATATCATTAAAATAATAGTGATATAATTAAGACACAATAACACGTCGAACAAATACTAATTCAGAAGTCAAACAACAAAAATCATCCTTATACTTTCAAATTTGAAAATCATTATATTTTCAAATTATATTTTCAAATTTGAAAATATAACGCTGATTTTTGTTGTTTGACTTCTGAATTAGTATTGGTGATATATTGAAATTATATTTAAAAAATAACATTAAGGAAAAAAATCTCAAAGGTTTCAGATTTTAAATTACTTCCAAATTTGTGTTTTTGTAACGTTTTGTGTGTTATTCTTATTTATTAAATATCATGTTCTTTGGACTTAAACCATAAAATTCAGTTCAATAGCAATGTTCCAAATTAATTTTAAAATGAGCATATCTTTAGAATTTTCGATACATGGTTCCTCGTGCTGGAGATAAATTCCCCCCCCCCTCCCCGTAGAATGTTGCCATTGCTCGCTTTGAAATCCTTGAGTTTGTTAATAAAAAATTCTTTAAAGTTTTACAAAATATGAAATCAATAATAAAAACAAATTTCAAATTTGGTCTTCCACATGCCCATATTCGTAGGAGGATTACGATTCAAAATTCAATGGCTCTATGTAACATGTTTTATCACAATGTGAGAAATATACATACATTTATGCAGATTTTTCATTATTTAATTTCTTCAAATATAATGCAGGACTCTAACATTTGGTGGCAACAATTTGAAAAGTGAAACGGACATTTATAGTGAGTCAACACAAAATCGCAAAACAGAAACAATAGTCTTTCAGGGACAAAGCCTCTTTTGACTAATAAAACATTTTTTATTTTTTGCTGTCATATTATAAAGTTTCATTTTGGCAACTTAGTATACAGTAGTTTGAATTTGAAAAGTAAACAAAGTATAATGCTATAAAGCACAATTTACGAAACAGCTCTTCGCAGAAGCAAAATTAGCTTTGTAATTAATTAAAAATGTCTTCTTTTTAACTTTTTCATAGTGAAAGTTTTTCCCATGTAATTGTCTGAGAATATTCTAAATTCTCAGAATATACTCAGTTTTTTCTATAAAATTAATTTTACCCTTTTCCCTCCTCCCCCCCCCAAAAAAAATATTTTTGGCTTTTTCCTGTTACAGAATTGGTAGGGATAATTTTTCTTTAGGGTTTTAGACATTGCAGTTTGGAAAGTTTAGAAAGATTTGAAGGCAAGATTTATAGACACACGATTCTAGAAGATCCAAGAAATATGTGACAAAAGGAAAATTCCTCCATGGTATCAACACGTAATCGATGTATTTTATAGAAATTTTGGAGAACGTCTTGAAGAACAATGAAAACATAATATTTGAATGGCTTACTTCTGATACTAGAATCATTTTCTTAATGTGTTTATCTTCCTTTTATTTTCTCTACTTTTCACTAGACTTCTCTACTTCACTAGACTCTACTTTTCACTGAATCTTATCACATGGGCAGGCATTATAGAAAGGGATTTTTTTATTAATAAGGAAATTGAAAACTTGCAATTTAAAAGATTCATCTAATATGCCTAAATACATCGTACACAGAGCTGGCACTAGGCATTTCCTAACCTGATGCAATCTCTGCGGATACTAAATTCTGCTGCCTAGTGCCTTTCTAAATTCTGCTTCCAATGCCTGCTCTAAATTCTAAAAGTTTTGCCATTTCTAGATTTTGTTGTTCGGTGTGTCACTAAATTCTAAAAATTCTGCCACACCAGCTCTGTAACCGCTCTTTACCATATATATTTCATATTTCTTCTGAATGTTCATATTATTAATTATTATTAAAGAAATAAAATTAGCCACTTTTTATATACATTCTAAATGATATTAGTGTTTTTTAGAATAACAGAAATCCTTAATTAAATCCAAAAATTCTAAAATGGAACATGTTGAAGAAAGAAACTGAATACATAAAGAAAATTATTCTTCAAAAATATGTTCAGTTATTATTATGTTTATGATTTCAACCTTCCTAAAATTCCCCATTTCTGTTTCCTCATATGATAGAGTTACTGAGCCAGATGAAATTAAAATCAAATTGTATAATGTTTGACCACTAAACCACATTTTTGAGTTTGACTGTTCTTGTATAATTACATCACTGTGAGCTGTAACTGATTTTGTTTTTTAAATAAGAGGCTTATTTAAACCTTTGTCTGATATTGTAGTTACTTTCAGCCATAGCGATAATTTGCTTCACATCTCTCAGGGGTTTTGGACTATTTAACTTTTTCCCAGATCAAGTAAACCCTCATAGGTACATTGTGGAGAGATTGACAAGTTAGGAGATAAACCATGCAGAAACTAGCTAGAGCATTGGCTTTTGCATATTGAGACAAATCTCTAATTGTTAGACAAGTTGCTTATAGAAAAATAAATCGATATAAACTAGCCAAAATGTTTGGGAAGGCTTCAAATTAAAATGATGGATAAATATTTTATTGAGTGTTGTTGTTACAAAACATAAATGTTTTGTAGCTTTTAATGTATAATTATCCTAATATCGTTTAAGAATTAATGTCATAAATTACATGTATTTTAAACTGTGAAATTTTATTAATTTAGATTTTAATAGGGCTTTTTTGACAAATATTGTTAAAAAATAAAATTTAATAGTGGCCATGTAAATATATTATGACTAAGGTTATCTAACTACCTAATTTAATTATTGATAACTAACTGCTTAAAAATTATCTCTACATAATAAAGCGGGTTATTGCCTTTCATTAATATTCACTGTGGTCACAAGATAAAACACAAAAATGTAAAAATTCAAGTAAAACTTATTCTTTGCATCTAAGTGAGACTTAAAAGAATGGAAAAGAACTTATCATCTCTAGTGCTTTAATGACTTATTGGAACTTTAAAGTATATTAACTGGGTTGCAACCCCTGGAACTCTACATGAAGCTACGACACTAACTGCATCAAACAGAGCCTGACTAACTTTCAACACTTACCAACCGTGCCTACATCAGGCCTTTCAGTTTCTAATCAACAGGTTTCTCTCCAGACAAGCAGCAGCAGTGACAACATTCAGTCTTTTGTTATGAATCATTCTGATTATGATCTTACTTCTCATTTTAACCTATGCCGTTTGACATAAAATATACCTGCTATTTGCTAAACCTCTAGACTGACCAAGTATGTGACAAAATGAGACATAAAAAATTCAACATAAAGCTAACTGTTAGTAAAACATAAATGTCATTTATCTTCTTTCAAATATGTCCAGCTATTATAAGTGTAAAATATTTAATGCTACATGATAAATTCCATGAAGTTTATTTTATTCTCAAACTTATTAATAATTATGTTAATTTATTCATGTTTAGTAATAATGCATACTACTTAGAGATCTATTTTATTTTTATGATGGTATTAGAAAAGTGAAATTCAGGCATAGATAATATTTTTTAATTCAATTTATTTAGCTCCGATTTACCCATAGGTCCTTAATATTTTTTCATTAATGGGCCTTAAAAGTACTTAATTTCCATGTGCAGAAATGTGTATGAACTCTGAGTTGTGTTTATAACATCTCTCTTTTGAAACTGACCACTTCCACTACAGACCAAAATCGTCTGTAACATGGATGGTTGTTTTAGAGAATGTTCACTATATTTACTTTATTTCAGTTTTGCGTGAATCGGTTACATATCTAAAGAAGAATTTTCTTGTCAGACTTTTGTAAGGAGTCAAATTTTATCAGTAAACAATGAAAAAATTAATTATAGGTTGCTTTGTTTATCTTGCATTTTTATCAGATAATGTTCTTTACAAATTATTTTTGCTGGGAAGTCATGGTATAAATTCCATTTTTGATGTTTTTTGAAAATTTTATTTTGAAGCATTTAAATGAAATTTTAATTAATTAATTTATTATTTTTTACTTAGCACTTAAGATTTAAATATGCACTTTTTTCAGTAGCATTTAGTTCATTCTTTTTCAGAAGTGTATTGAAATATAAAGTAAATGACATAACTGTATGATATTATTTTCATTCACTTGTATAGACAGTATGTATTCTGCTAAATTCAGATTGGAAAGCATTTTCATTTTGTTGAGCATTGACATTTTCTTGCAAGTATGAAAAGTAATGGCATAGCTCATGAAAAATAATTTAGTATTTATTACCAAATTATGAATATCTGATGTTTATGATGATTTTATTTTGGCACAGAGAACACTTAGGATTGTTAGATAAAGCCAATCAGTCCATTGATATTCGAGATCCTGTTATTGAGTCTTTTTACAAGGAAGTGTGGGTTAAAACTGCTGCATTAAATACATCCATATATGAAAAAGTAAGCGTTTTTATCATATTAAAGTATATGTTCCCCCCTCAATAATAAAACATGTTAGCTAAATGAGTTACTTGATTGAAATAGTTTTGAATATTTTCATTTTTACTCTTTTTATTTTTTTTAATATTATTATTATTATTTTTACACTTAAGTCTTGTTTTTCTTTCTGAATTTATTATAGTTTTTTTATTATTTTATTTTATTAATAATCAGTGCCTTTTGCTGAGCTTTTCTAGGATTCTCATTCACCTTAAACATATTGAGAAGTTTATAGCAGGTCAGAGAATTAAAAATATAGGCAGGGAAAGTTTTTGAAAATATAAACTTTCTTTCAAAAAGCCAGAGAAAATGTGAAATTCTTTTTTAGTCAGGGAGCCCCCCCCCTCAAGTAAATTAGTCATTTCTTATTTAAAACAAAAACCTATAAACAATAGTGCTTGTACAAAAATAAATAAATAAATAAAAGCACAGAGTTGCTGTAATCTTTGTTTCTCGTGCACAAAGTACTTAGTTAATATTTGAAACAGCAATATGAACACATGCCTTTCTGCATCACCTGCTAATGATAAGTCACTATACTCTGTAATTATGTTTTAATAATTGATTATGTTAATTAAACACTTGTAATCAACCCTGAATAATTTTTATTTTTTCTGTTTTATTTTGGAGCTTTGTAGAAGTAATATTTATTATGAATATTTTATTGTTGTAAATTTCTTTTGCAAAATGAAGTTTTACTCGGAATTCTTTTTAAATGGCTTAGATTTTCTTAGATATATAATCCTTTCATTTTCTTCACAAGGATAAGTAAAATAAATGAAATTTATATAACATTCTTAGCTACTTCATCATATTTTGTAATAAATACAGAAAGTTATTCAGTTATTCATACTTAATTTGCTAACTACAGTCAAACTCCCTGAGTATAAAAATTTTGGGGGTCCTGTCCAATTTCCAATAGATTTAAGGTGATTTTATAGGGCTATGAACTTCCAAATATATAAAAATTGAATGTAACAAACTTCAAGGACATCTTGAAATGGCTTCGTATTTTTCAAACTTTTTTTCAGAATTTCTCGCAAAACACCCTTAGGTTACTGTTTTATTTCTTCACCTTTACCTTTCTTTGTGTTCTAAATCAAAGGCTATACAAGGCAGATGTAGCAGCATACCTTAGAACAGTAGTCTTAAACTGACTTATGCAGCCTGCAAATACAGTCTTGCAGAGATTTTAGGTTTTTTAGTTGGAGCTTACATCATTAGAAAAAAACATGAATAATATGCCAGAAAATCAATAAAATAGATTAATTTATTGTGTGATCTAAATCTTATTGAAAGATTTCAAGATACAGATTTTATTAATAGTTAAAAAATAAAAAAGCTCTATTATGAATTTGAATTTTTGCACTGAAAATAGTGCTTGAGAATATATTTATATGTGAACAAATGTTTTTCATAGTTAAAAATTATGGTGGAAAAAATGGTTGACCGATCAGCATCTGTAATCTATGATGAAGATAATTTCTAGTAATTTTTCAGTGAGACTATAAACTTTAAGAATTCAAGCAGCATCAACTATCAAGCTGTAGTAAGAAATAAAAGAAGTTTATAATTATTTACATACAAACATGTGTATTTTTATTTATATGAAGAAAAATAAGAGAAGGAGACTGGTATGTCATTATTTATTCTCAAGTTTTGTCCTACAAGTTTTCTCTGAAAAGTTAGAAAGTTTCCATAATTTGGTTTAGGTAAAATTAAAGTAAGTTATTCAATGGTTAATTAAACATGTTAGAATTATTTTAAACAAATACCAGTCTAAACATTTATTATTTAGCTATCACCATATTTTAATAGTAAAGTATACTCAATAGAAGTGTCTTCCAGGTACACACTTTAGATTTTAGATAGGAAATAAAAATAAACAGCAATTTATTTCTCTTTGTGATATTATTAATTTTTGTTTATGTATGTATATTTCGATAAACATTTAATAAGCAAAATTGAAAATTTAATTAAAGTATCTTTTATTTTGTGAATAACAAATTTTGATTTTATTAAAAACAAAGTAAAACAAAAAATTCTGGCTTGTCAGCTGTTTTTAGGCCTGCATCGAAAACATTCAGCCTGCATCGAAATTCAGTTTGAGATCACTGCCTTAGGAGATTATGTTGAGGCTAAGAGCTTTAATCAGTTCTTTGATTCCTTTGAGGTCTTTGAATGAGCTGTCAGAGAAATGTTCTGCTTCAAGGCTGATGCTAATTCATTATTATAAATGCATATTTTAAATAGAATTTTGTCATCTGGAGGGATGGATCATTTGACTTGTATACAAAGTAGTTTTTCATGTGAAATTATTAATATTTGGTAAAACTAAAATACAATGAAAAAGAAGTTTAGTAATTTCAACAAAGAATTCTTCTTTATTTATTAAATAAAGCTACAATTAATTTCTTTTTGGAAATGTGACAATATTAATCACTCTTTCTATTGGATTTATCAATAAACTATTTAGTGATTTATCAATAAGCTATTTAGTTATTATTTAGTTATGCTATTTAGTGAAATGATCTATTTTTTCATATATGTGTACCATATCAGATTAGATATAATGAACCACTGGGCAAACCAAACTTTCAGTACTTTGAAGTTCATTATAGTGGAAATTGACTGCAGTTCATTATGTTTGGTCAGAGCACTTGTTTCATTTGGCTGTAGAAATGCAGAGAAATTAAAATTTTAATTATAGTGAGAAACTTTTTTTAATAAGCATTTTTGTAGTGAAATATTTTTAATTTGTATTGAAGAAATCACTGGAATTATTTTATTCTGTATAGGTTTTTCGTTGCATTCCAACTGATGAGGTGCGCTGTTTTTCTGAGCTGAAAGAGTATTTGTTAAAACCAGGTATGTCTGTAACAGATCCAGAATCTGCATCTAAACTGCTCAGCAATGTTCAAGGGCATTTAGTCTTGCTGCCATTTTTCTTTTTGTGTAATGAAAACTTAACACCTCCACCTGGCACTAAGGAATCTCTTATGCCTGTTTCTTTATGGACATAATTTTCATGTTGTGTTTTTTTTTTTATGGGTATAAGTATAATGTTGGGTATATTTGCGTCTTAATAGTCTTTATTTCATGTTTTATTTTTGTTATTAAAAGCATTTTTCACTTACTATTTTTCTTCTTCTGGAGGTTATCTGTAAATGTGAAGCTGTATTTTTGAATTATGTGCATTTTTTTTTATTTTTGTTGAATTTCAGTTCATTAATCTGCTTTATCATGATAAAATATATACCATATTTACTCGCATATTTCTCCTTTTCACGTATTCCCTCCTAATTCTTTCAACATATGATTTTGAAATTTCTGATTTATGGTAACAATGAAAAATGTATGCACATACAGGAAGCTATTTCATGTGAGTAAAAGAATATTCTTCAAATTGATAAATCTTTTGAAATATATAATATAATAATAAAAATGGTGTATTTTTATGTGTGTTGTCTAATGTACTGTGTTTATCATTTAAGCCATCTGTTTAGAAATAGTATACACGACATACTTTTCTCCTTCTGGTTTTCGGGTGGTAAAACTAGTAGGAAAAAGGCAAGAAATATGCGAGTAACTATCATATAGCTTCATTTTTATGCCCAGAAAGGAATGTTTTAGTAAATCCTAGATTTAGATTTGTATCAGAAACTGTCAAATTTTGTTCAAATATCAAATGCAAAAAAGTTCAGAGCTTTGTACAAAAAAAAGAATGTAACATAAATTTTGTAACTATGTATAATTTTAGTATGTAATTTTTAAATACGTAACTAGTTTGTTCAACTGTAGTTTTGCATCTCAGAGACTTCTTCCATTGTAATTCCAACTGCATGGTGCTCAATCATACATAAAGGTTATCTTTCATCAAACCACATTGCCCATACTATTTGTGTTCCCTGTTCTATAAGGAAAGAGTAGCAAGAATAAAATATGTAATGCATTTTGATTAAAATATTTTAATAAACATTTTATTTGATTTAGATGCATTTAAAAATTTTTACAAGCAGTTAAATGTAAGATTAAAAGTTAATTAATTTTATTTATCCGTATCAAAAGGAATAGCAATGGTTAGGAATGTAGCTCTTAAATTCTCTTTGCCAAGTTGCAAATACTTAATAGAGTTTTTGAAAAATCAAACAATTTCCTCTAAATTATTTTTATTATATGTAGGGTTTGTATAACATAATATATAATTTTATATACAGAATTTAAAGGTTCATAATATTCTTCATAAAGCTTTTTTTCATTGGAATGGCTAATAACTTTTTAATGGTTAGGAGTAGCAATGATTGATGTGGTACTTACTCCCTGCAATTTTTTTTAAATCTTTGTTATTAAAATTTTATTACTGTTTTTAAATAAACAGTAATTAGTTATATGGCCATATAGCAAATAAAAGTGTTCCTCAATGTAAAATAATTTTTTGATGTGGGCCACTGTTTGTATGCTGTTTGAAAATATGTAAAATAATGTTTAAATTTTTGCAATGAATTTATTAAAGAGCATTGCTAATTAGACTAAATATTATTTCTAACAGGTAATAGGTATGATAAATCTAATGATTGTGTTTCATATTGTTTTTCATATAAAAGCCTGGAGATGTTTGAACAATAATGCACTATTTCATAATTCAAAACATTCTAACTTGAGATCAGGCAGTAAAGAAAGAATTCCTTGAAGTATATATTTAATCTCCCTTCCTTTATTTATTTTATTTTAACGGAAGGTTTAAGACCTAGGTTTATTCAGCATATATGTTAGAAAACAGTGTGAATATCTGAGAATTAGTTTCAGCTCAAATTCTTGTTAACTGCAAGAAGGTGAAGATTATTAATTTCTGTGAATTATGCTTTTCTTTGAAATCTAAATTTATTATGTAATTCTAGATAGTTTTAATGTGAAATACTCATTTTCGGGGAAAAACAGTTCTTTAAAAATTACTTTCTCTTTTAATATATAAAAATTTATAAATAAAAATTTATTTTATTTTTATTTCAAAGTAATAAAAATCATAAATACTTAAACTGTTCCAGCCTGCATTAATTTCACCTATCATTGTATGTGAAAATAGAAACTGTGTATGACATTGCCAGAATGTTTAAAAACGTGAATTCAAACCCAGGCTTGCTAAAAATATTTTTTAAATTCTGTTTGGAGAATTGTAGTTAATTTTGAGCAAGCCAAGTTTCAAATTAAAAAATCAAATTGTTTGAGGGGCAATATTGGTTTCAGAACCCTAAATTTAAGAGGCTTCACTTAAAAATTTTGTAATTAAAAAGATAAATAAATAAAATATTAAAAATATCCTTTCAAGGTTCCTTTTTAATTATTTTTACAAAAATTTGACTTGCAACTTAAACAATAGTTTATTTTTAAAAGTATATCTTTTTTGGCATGTTTTTTGATTAAATCCTACACCAAATTTGTCTTCCACTAAAAATGAAATGTTCTGCACTAATTAAACATTGCTTTATTATGCAGTTCTCTGTATATAGCCTTAATTACATTCCATAATTTAGAGTTTTATTTTGGATCTAAATACGTGATGTAGAACAAAATCATCATTCGATACTGGAAAAGTCTCTGGATATTTGCAAGTTTGGACTAATCAAATAATGTACTTAATCCTGTTCCTCAAGAGTGATTTTATATAAGATATGTTTATATAACATGTAAATAATAATTGCATTTTAAAGCGCACACATGGCAAATAGTACTGACTATATATACATATGTATGCATCTTGATATTTTAATCTTCAACTTCATAAAAAATTTTAAACTGTGAAGTAAGTTTTGGTAATACACTAAAATGTTTAATTAAATTAATTAAAGCTACTTTTGGGATAAATGTTTACAATCCTGTTTTGCCATGCTAAGAAGTCTTGTCACTTAACTTTACATATTCGTTATTTATACAATCATCCATACACTTTTACAAATGTTCCATTGTAAGAATGTTTTTTTGTTTCACAAATTGTGAAGAAATGATATACAAATACTATTTTTTTAAAATATCGCAACAATTAGAGGAAACTTTTATAAAAGAAGAAAAATGTTAAATATTTTTTTTTTCACATATGTCTGTGAAACATTCGTTATATTTAACTTTCTGAACATGTTATTATTCTAATTTGGCATATCTTACGTATGTAAAGGAGAAGTCAGATTATTTGAGGTATGCTAGGTGCTAATTTTTTTTATGATAAGGGGCAAATTTTTATGGTTCTGTAAATTTTTAAAATTTGAATGAGAGAAGAATTTAAATTTCACTCTATTTTGCAGTTTGATGACAAATTTCTTAGCACAGCTGTATTGAAAAATGCTTATTGAATCTTTTCATAACTATATTGGATGACATACAAAATCTTTGCCTTTCTAAAAAATTTTAACCTACAAATTTTACATAATTTTTTGGCCTAATTATAATTTGCAGTAAGTTTTTCTCATATTATGATCTTCAAAATTTAAGCAATTTTTTAATAATGCTAAATTTCAATTTTTATTCAAGCATTATGTTTAAAAAGTAATATATTTATTAATCCTTTAAGGTGCTGTTAAAATATGTTTTTACAACTGATTTATAATTTCAGTATCACAGCCAGCTATGACATAAGATGAATATAAGCATGTACATTTTTAGATATATTTCTTTATTTATAAATTATATTTATGTATAATTTTCTTACTATTCTGTAAACTTTCAAACATTTGGAGCATTTACATAAGTTTAGCTATAAATATTTGTTTTTCTCCTGCAATAAACGGATTTGTTCTTGTCGTTGTAGAAAAAATTGGCAGGAATGTAAAATTGTCATATTTTTGTATAGTTTCCTTTATATTGTGCATTAATTATTTAATTTTTCTAAAGTTTAGAATTAAAAAAAAAGAAAATGTAATTTTGTTAAACCTTTTTTTAACTAAAACATCTTTAAGTATAGTATGCCGTGTCTTTTTTTAAGTTCAGAATTCAAAAGTTAAAAGTTTCGAATGAGGCATACCCTGGATCTGACTTCTAATTTCATAATAAACATTCATATTTTGTAAATGCAAAAGATTCCTGTATACCATAATGATATATTTGAAGATCCTTGTGATATATGATGATGTTTTTCATTTAATTGTATATTTAGGATTTGGTGAAAAAATTATATGGTGCTTACTTTTTCTTTAAATGTTATTCACATTATTCTGAAACTACAAATCTGCGGATCGAGAGATAAGCATTTGAGGAGAAAACTATAAGGAATATGAGGAATAATATTTAAGGGAAACTGAGTTATGAATTTTACATCATAATTCACATTTTAAAATTAATATACATTTTTTCTATTTTGGCACAATTATAGCTATTGAAAAAGAAGTGGCAAGAGTAAAAAAAAAAATGCAGATTCTTGGTTTGGAATTGCTGATAATAATATACATATGTGAGTGAGAAATTGTATCATTTGTTAATGTTAGAGATTTAAAAGAAAACAAGCACAAAAAATACTTTTATAAAGAAATATTGCATAGTTGTATAAACATTTTTTTTGTTTTATTATTTCTTGCAATTAATAAATTTCATTAAAAACATAAATTATTTTATATTACTCTAAAAGTATGTAAGAATCTCATTTTTATAATTGGGGTATTTATTCCTTATTTCATTTCATAAGTATACATAATTTCATCTTTTTCTGAAAAATATTTCTAATATTTAGCAATAAATATGTGCGTAATACACATATTCAACTTTAAACCTAAACTTATATACAGATATATATGTTCAGTGTGGATGAATAACCTTTATTAAGATCTTATTTTATAACAGTGTACTTTTTACAATATTATTAGATTATGTTGAATAGTCATTTTAAATACTAAACTGTACTAACATGTATTCCATTATTTTCAAAATGTAACACAGGCAGCTAATAGAAGAATAATTTTTATTTGTAGTGCTTGTGGATGTATTAAATGAAAAGTTTTATAAATATCTGTTTACTGTTCTTATTAACAACATATATTTCACTTAAAATTAGCCTGTGTATATATATGATTAAATACACTTAACAAACACTCTTAAGTTTCTTATGTACATTCTTGCCAATGTTTTGGTTTTGCTGTTTGTTTTATGCTCTGTATTTGATAGTTTATTTCAGTTTTCTTTATTGCTAATGTATTTCTAGTCTAACTCGTACTCTAGTCTGTATCCTCACTTAAGATTAAAACTCCACAGAGGGTTGTTGTACTTACTTTTTTTCCCCTCTTTCTTTGGTTTTTGTATACTTCTGTCCTTGTTTATATGTATGAAATTGAAAGTATTCAGCCATAATATGTAAAAGTAATGTACAAGCCATACTTCTAGAGGTGAAAAAGATGTATTATGTATCATTCAGAAACTGATAAAATACAACTGTGTATCAGTATTTAAATGTTATTTTTTGTCCACTGGGGGAAATTTGTTTCCATTAAACTCTTTTTATTAGAACATTAATTTAATAAAAAGGGAAACGAAAATAGGTTTCCATAAATTAAGAAGTTTGCCAAGTGGATTATTCTTGGCGTTAACTGGAAAAAAAAAAAAAAAAAAAAAAACGGCAGGATAATTTTTTAAGTTCTTCGTAAATTTTGCACCAAATTTTACAAAATTTAATATTTAGGCATAATTTGAGTTGCAGAATCGATATATGGAAAAAAATTGGCATGCCATTTCAAGAAAAGTCCCCCCCCCTTTTTTTTGTCAAAATCCCTATCTGTTAGAACAGTGCTTTATATAAATGTAATATATATCCTAAGTCGCGCTTTTCAGACATGAAAAACGCAATTTGTATTTTGTTAATTGGTCCAGTAGGACAGAAGATATAGAAATGTCCCCCACCTTTTTTTTTTTTTTTTTTTTTTTTTTTTTTTGTAAGTGTACCATTAAAATTAGCTGACATTTAGAGAATTTTAGGATGCAGTAAGCTTACAGTATGATTTCCAACTAATAGCTAAATATGTGATGTGATAAGGCTTGTTATGAGTACAAAATTTAAGGTATTTTTTACGCACTGCTTTGCAATTTTTTGCTATATTTGTTATTAACTATTGTACAAGAAACTTTCAAATTCCTGAAGGATGTTATGAATCATCTCAAATAATTTTTTGAAGGATACCATATTTATAAAATTTTTTGTTTAAAATTGATTGTTATATATAACAAGATCGTACTGTAATTAAACTTTCTTAAAATTTGAATTTTACTATCTATATCAAAAACCCAAAGCGGTTATCTTAATGTTTCAAAGTCAAACACAATATTAGGAAAACAATTGACACAGTATAAGTTTTATCAAAGTATATCCTCATTAAGCAAAACTGAACTAATTCATTTTGTTCTCATGCGAAGGTATAAAAGCAAATGAATAATGAAAAGTCTAATTCTGTTTAATGTACATAATTACTAACTTTTTAAAAAAATCTGCTTTCAAAATAAGAGAAATTATTTTGTTTATGTTATTAGAAATAAAAGAAATTATCTAATGAAAATTCAATGCATTAACTCAGTAATACTTATTTGGGAAAATACACACATTCCCCCCCAAAAAAAATCATTCTTGTGAAAGTTTAAAATATCATTATTCAAGTGTGTTGTATTATTGTTGTTCTATTTCAGTTACTTATATGATACAAACATACTATAATGAATGTATTTTTAAATGCATTTAAAAAGTCAACTGCAATTTATATATCTATCCAAAAGTCTCAAAATTAACACAGAAAATGTTATATAGTGTATTTATATAGCTTAATCTCTTTTTACGTTTCATTCTGATAAAAAAATATCATTTGTAAATCTGCTTTGTTCAATGAATCATAACTGAGTAATGATAGGGGACAATTAGTGTTTGATTCATTTAGATTATATATATGTAGTATATGCCTTTTATTAGTCTACTATTTATCTGAAATTGGATTACATATGTGAATTGCAATTTTTAGATTTTTATGACAGTTATAATAATCATTTACATTTATATATATATAATATATATATAATATATAACAAGTGTAGAGAGAGAGAAAAAATATTACTGTATCTGTGATATATATTACAAATTCTGTTTCTGTATAAGAAATGTTTACAATTTATTGCTTCTTACTGATGAAAAATTTTATTAAAAGTCTGAAATATTGAATTATTTATTGGTGTTAAATTGTGTTGTTGAAGAACTGTGAGGGAGAAATCTTTGCTTGTATTTAAGGCTAATAGTTCTTTAATTAGAACCCAATTTCTAATGCCAAATGTTTGAAAATGAGATTAACTTTTGGAAAAGAAATTATATGTGTTATATATTTTTGTGTATTTGGAATATAAATGATCATATATAAGCATGTTTGAATGAATTCCTATGTATTTTGTCACTTTGATCTTGTTAAAGAGAACTTCTAAATGTTCAGATATTGTTATATGAATATGAATCATTGAGCAAAATGATATGAAATATTTTTCATTTTTTTTCTGCTTTTGTTTTATTGAGATAGCTTCACCTGTGCTTATGTGATAATAATTGCTTACAAATTTACTTTTAATATAAGTAATTATTGGTTTTGGTGCACAATAGGTATAACAATCACGAAGAAGCATAGTGTTAGCTTTCTAAACTTTACTTTGTCCTTCTGGCAGCTACCTAGATGCATAAATTTATTTTGTTAATTAGTTAACTAGACAACTTTGGAAAATATTATCATTTTAAAAAAGAAACCTGGGAATTAATTAAGTTATAAAGAATGATGCCCCTTCTCCCTTCCTTTTTATTAAGCAAAGTTCACTATATTCAAAAGTAAGAATTTTCTTTTGTATAAATAAATGGAAATTCCTAAATAGTCTGTAACTATATCAGAATTTTAACAAAAAGGGGATTTTATCACTTGAAAAAAAATATATATTTTGTCTTGTATATTTGCCATTTTTAATTTTTTTAATTAATGATTTAAATAATTTACCATGCAATTATCATAAGGACTGGTGAAGTCATATTATATTATATTACTGTTTGTGTATTTTAAGTATATCTCTTTTATGTATTTGATCCAGTATTATATAACCTGGTGTGAATGATGGAGTGTTTGATTTACTAACAATATTTTTATTGAAAGTTATACTTTTGGAAATAAAAAAATGAAATACCACTGAAGTATATTTACTTTATGCGTAAAATAATTTCATTAAATTAAAAATTTCAACAAATATAATTATCCTTTCCTTAAGAAAGTTGGCTTTACACCACATTACTTTTATGGAGGATACCATATTTTCTTTGGAGGAGGCTGTAGCCCTTTGCTGTATTGTCTGCTGACTGTTCATCTATTCAGGTAATTTGATATCACAAAATAAAGCAGTGTTACAGCTTTATTTTGCTTTCCAGTTTACACCTGTGCATATCATGTCAGGAAGATGGTGTACATTTTGTCATATTCTTGTCAGGAGTGGCCAGCTTTCTTGGGCCTTGCTTGTGTATTAGTACCATTTTCAGTTTATGGGGGGGAAAAAAAAAAGGTTGAGATTTTTTAATTTTTATGAAGGGAAAAAATTTCTTTATTCAGTAGTGGAATAAAAGTATGACTTTAGTTTTGAAAGAGTGTGCAGGTTTATAACAGTTTGGCTAGATATCTAAACTGCCTACAAAAACCATATGGTTGGAAAAATGACAACTAACAATCAAGCATACTGTTACATTAAGACTTTCACGTCATCAAGATTAAAGGGTAAATTTTGACAATTAAACATTGGGGCAAGCAGATGAAAACTATTAATGTAGTGGTACAAGCAAAGAACCATTATATCCTGTAGCCTATACTATTAAAAATAGTATATACAGGGTTGCCACGCTACCTGGAAAACCGGGAAAAGTCAGGGAATTCGAAAATTGACCAAAAAATTCAGGGAAAAGTCAGGGAATTTAAGTATTTTTGTCAAAATCTGGAAAAGTCAGGGAAGTTCATACTGATCCGCCAAAAAAAGCGATTTTTGCGCCGACGGCGGAAGAGATAACTTTTTTGGCGAATTGTCTATCACGTGAGTGTCTGCTGGCATAGAGCAATTTTCGCAGCTCCAATTTGATTGCCTTTTAGTTCCGCAACTTTGGTTTCCGTATTTCGAGAATCGCATGTGCAGTGATGAACTAAAGAAGTACTGTTTCGTATAAACAAAATGGGTTTTAATCATGTAACGGTACCATGGAGGTAGAATCAAAGAATAGGTATTGTAAAGAAGGAAAACCTCTCTGCAACAGACGTGGCTCCGTTCCATCATAGAGGGAAACGCGTGCATGCGTATATATCTGCCGCCAAAGCTGGACCGGTGTCGAAGTTCGAAGGTTACGTTATCAAGAGTTCATTAATGAAATCCTTTAAAATTTCTTAACCACTTGCGCTAAAAAGACGTGCCACGCACGTCGATATGCTTTTGTCTCAAACCGCGAGCGACGTGAACACCACGTCGATAAGCATTTATCGCAAAAAATGAAAATAACATGGTGCACACGTCGCCTAACAACGAGATTGTTTATTTCTCGAGTTACAGCTCTGGATTGCACTCGCAGATGCGGAGCGGCGTAAATGAGACACTTTACCCTTGCTATATTGTAGCGCACTGCACCGCAACCGTGAAGTTTAGTCTTAGCGCAAGTTAAGTAACTCTAATTAAAAGAAAATATTTTTTGGCGCAAGTAAATTAATTCATATGTTAGTAATTTCAGGGGGGGGGGAACTACGAAAATCCGTTTTTAAAATTATTGCGAAAAATCCAAGAAGAAACGTCCTTTGATAAAACGTTTCTTCTTGGATTTTCGCAATAATTTAAAAACGGATTTTCGTAGCTTTCTTTTGTCAAAGAACGTTTCTTCTTAACACGTTTCTCAATTTACGGTACACATCGCGGAGAGCCAGGTTCCGTCGCCAAATCCCTTGGCAAATTTTCCCTCCGCATTTAGCGGCGTAATAGCATTTTACTTGTATGGAAAATTTTCTTCTTTACATAGACAAAGAATTTAGAGATTCTTTGGATAGACGTTTTTGGTTAAAATAATCTCCATGTATGGATTTGGCGACATGATGATGCGCAGTAAAGCGGTCTTTTGGTCTTGGCGACAATTTTCAAAATCGTGCCAAAGCCTTACCGTATACTAGAATTTTACCGCAAAATCTTTTTTAAACTTTTTTTTAATAAATACCTTGCCATTTTGCAGTAAATAAAAAATAGTAATCTGTCATCTAGGCTAACCATGTAATATAACTATATTCGCTAAAATATCGTTGATTATTCTAATTCAATTTTTAAGAATTATCTTTATTTTATGTTATTCGTATAATTTAATGATGCTTCTTCCTTCTAAATTTATTAATTATTAGTAAATAATATTCTAAATTTCAGGAAATTTTCTCTGGCATAATCTTGAAATTAATTCTAGCAGTATGATGACATACCATCAAGAAATTTAATGCACATATTTTTTTCTTAGTATGCTGCGAACTAAATATAAAATACCTCAATTTATTAAAATAGATTTCTTTGTTTCGTTTAGCTGCAGAATGTCTGCAAAAAAGCCTTATTT